TTGATACTACTTATAAAAACATCATCGCTAAAACATTTCACATACAAACCAGCGTTTAAAGAATCCCCCCCCCCCCCCCCCCCCCCACCCCCCCCCCCCCCCCGCCCCCCCCCCCCCAACAAAAAAATCTGCGTTTGCAACATTTAACATTTCCCAAAACAACGTTTAGAAAATTTCCCAAAACATCAGCATTTCTAATATTTTACAAAACACCATTTCTGATATTTACTAAAACATCATGTTTCCAACATTTACTAAAGCATCGTTTATAGTTCTAACAGTCACTAGACCGCCAGCCTTTTCCCTTCCCCCGTGCCTCTACACGTGACAGAATACAAAATAGCTCGTAAAGCACCCCCTTCCCGTCCCCGCCCCACTCACACACTTTCAAAAGAGAGTGAAATAAAAGAAATCAATAATGTATTATAAAACACAGGTTTAAAAAAAATTATGTGTGTGTTCATGAATGACTGCAGTCAGATGTAAAAAAAAACACGACTGTAAAGTCACACAGCTTTTCCAGACAGGAAGAATTATTTCAGAAGACATGGGATAACTCTATATGTCTGGATACAGGAAGAATAGTTAAAATAGAAAGAACAATATTTGTGCTCACTAAAAGTATATTAACAATTTAAAAAACCAAAATCTGCAAATAATGACGTACATACGAATAATATGAACAATTAACAAATAAGAAAAACAACAAACGACTTTCCTGGATAGGAAACCCACCACAGAAGAGATGTAACTAATATTCGATATATATCGTCATAGGAAGATATAAGAGGAAAAAAAAAAAAAAAACCACTTACGTGAATATCATCACCATCTCCATTCACAAGTTCACAATTGTTACTTCAAGAACAGACCTGGTAAGAGCGGAAAGGATCCCACTACATCATAAATCCATCACGGGCCTTGCTCTATTTTCCCAAAATATTTTCTCTCAATATGTAATCGTGTATGGAACCAGAGGCAGAAGACGGTCTAGTCTCACGGTGCCGTGTTGCTCTTGTAGGACCCGGGCATTAACGGCAGATGTAACCGTTAGAAAATACACTTGACAGTACAAATATGCAAGCTTTGGGAAAGCCATCCGGGGAGGGAATTACAGGGAAATATATACATGGCCCTATTTATACAGTGCAACACGTGCAGCGGCAAAAGTAACTGGTATTACAAATGATAATATTTGTTTTGCTTGAGTAATTATTAAATCCGCAATACATTAGCGTTTATGCATTAAAATAGTATCTAAGACGGGGTGAGGGGGATGAGAGGGGGGGGTGAGAGGGGGGGGGGAGGGGGATATTTAAAAAAAAGACTCCACGGGGCGTCATACATCCTAAATGTGAACCTGTATATACTTGTATCTACGTATAAGCATATACTATTACTATAAAGTAAATAAGTAGTAAAGGACCCTTTTCCACGCTTTTAGGCATATAGGGCATACAGGGCTAGACCTATATTTTATAGACCAATCGGTACCAGATGGGTGATGTGGTCAGCATCACGCCGGCCTTCTATACTTCCCGGGACTGCACCCGGTACCCACTCAAGGCTAGGTCGACCCGAGAGCAGGGTCATTTTTTGAAAAAAGTCCGGCTCCGCCAAGGAGCGAACCCACGACCTTCCGATCCGCGGCGAGCGTCTAGTCGCTCCGCCAGGCGACTCCCTTACTACTACTATACTACACAAAGATAGAAGTAAAGAAGCTGTGTAAATGCGTGTGTGATTAAATGTCCAACACTTTCAACTTGGACACTTTATCACCAACACTGGCACACAACAAACAATCCAAACGTATTTCGAGTGAGCAATGACAGAGGTCACCCTCTGCAAATCGTGACGGCAGTCTACCAACTGTATTTATTAGTCTAACTGACAGAGCAACGAGAGTAGAACAACGATTCCGGTCATATTCTTGGGTCTTCCTGTTTCGCCCTTCTGTGCGCTACTCGAAAGTTTGACGATTTACTCGACTTCAACAGTTGAAACCTGGATGGATGGAAAGTCAACAGGACAAATCCCAAATACTTGGTTGAACAGTCCAAGTCACAATCAGGGCTCCGTCTAACAACTAAGGCAAGCAATATCCTTATATAACCTATAGTCGCGTATGGATCCATTGGTGCCCAGACTTCCCTCTCAAAATACTCATCAGCGTCGCGAGGTTTACAGTTTCAGTCCTATGCTGGTTGTCAAGACTTAGTGTGCGTCCGGTGTGCTTCTCATGCTTGGATATGCCGATGTTTACTTCCAATCCTCGGAACGTCCTATCTCTCTCAGGGCAATGACAACGTCTGCGTGGTCCACGAGCCGCCCTCTTCAATTAATGCGGCACCTGCCATTCTATCAACTCTTTAATTACCAACAACACCTACATAACTGGGACAAATATGAAGGTAATTACACACACAGGAGAGTTTTGCAATGATTCAAACCATTGTCTGCATAACCAGCCTGCCTGAATCCGCCGGATCATGCTCAAAGATCAGCACATCTATCCCCTCTGAATTGTCATTTATAAGTGCGCATACCTAGGCGTTGATAACAGCGGGCTGTAAGGTTTTAACAAGGTTTGAGTGATTTTTGCAGGTTTGATTCTTATCTTTGAGATGGTAATTACTACAGCCATATTTTTTAAAGGGATTGTGTGTGTGTGGGGGGGGGGCGGTGAAGACTTGAATGATGATAGAGTGGAACAATGTGCTTAGAAATATCCCGCGAAGCGCTGCGTTGGTAGGCTGGTTCACGGCCGACACTATTTATCTGGTTGGTCATTGTTCCCCTCCCGGATTGCTGTCCGCAGGAATAGCACATCAATGATGAGAATCAAAAGGAGCGAATCCCCAAAACTTCGTTCATCAGCATCCTCCTATTCAGAAAGGCTATACCTCGTGGCGCTGGGGATCATGTCTGTATACAACCTTCTTTTACCTCTACTTTCACTTGATTCGTATAAAGGTGATCTTCCATGCCAAAATCTTCTTTCTGGATCTTTCTTCATCTCCAACTGCTTTACAGTCATGATGCGTTCCAGTTGTTTCCCTTCTCATCAAATGAACACAGAATGTAGACTGTCTCCTTCTGGCGTGGACCACCATTTCTCCTGTTCAACCGCATAACTCAATTCGGCTGTCCTCCAAATAACGGCCACATATTACGGAGGCCAAAAACAGGGCCTCAGTCACATGTAAATTGCAGACTTCCGGCGACTTAAAACGATTACCGTAACCGCCGAGGTATCTCCCGCACCGCGGAGCGGGGCTAAGCTAGATGGCTGGAACTCAGCAAAGCGTATGGGCGCGGGAGATACTCTCGGCATGGCGATAGTCGCCGGAAGTCCGACATTTAAGTTGCCGGAAGTCCGCAATTTACATGTGACTGAGGTCCTGTCAAGGTGTGTTTTTTGGCCGCCATAATATGTGGCCGTTATTCGGAGGATAGCCCTCAATTCAACTAAGGAAACCCCCACGGTTTTGAAGTATCCTGCAGTTCAGTTGGGGGAGGGGGGGGGGGGTGGAGTGTAATCAAAAGTTTGAGTGAGTGTGGTTGAAACACACGTACAGGCTGTCCAGCAGCAATAGAAGTCTCAGATGGCTTTCACAGAAGTTTGACCACAATCTACTGCTAGGAACGATAAGAGATTTTCGTGCTAGACAATGTACGATTGACACAGTATGATGAGATACGTAACATTAGTTATGGGCAACCTCTGTGTTCCCTGGAGTGGCTTAAGAACATTCAGGCACATCTTGTGTGAGGATAAGATCGTCTGTAATACAAGCGAAATGATGCACGGAGCAGTAGACGACATGACCCTCTTCCGCCACATATGTAGTTGTAGCAGGCTGAGTGGTCTCGATGCATGGCGTCCACCTCGAGTGCTGGAGGTCCCGGGTTCAGGCCCGGTGAAGACTGAGATTTTTTCACATGGACTTTTATAATTGTCCCTGGTCTCTGGGTAGTAAGATCAAACGCCCGTGTATAAAGTTGCGCATGTAAAAATATCTTGTCAGTTGGAAATCGAAAAGAGTAGCCTAACTGCGCTGCCCTGGGCAACATTTGGAGTTAAAAATCTACCAAAGTATTTCAGGATCGTTGCCGGTGCCACCGTACCTGTGCACTGCTTTGAGATTCTTCGGACTCAGGCCCGAGTTAGAAGTAGAACGGAGCACATATTGACTACTACCCTTGTGCCATGATGTTGACCCGCTGTAAAAAGAAAAAGAAAGATATGTAATTGTTTGGTAACATATTTGTTGTAGTGTTCTGGTGGATAATCTTTATGTGACAGTTTCAATGACCTTCGAATTTTGTGAATAACTGGGCTGATCAGTTTACTGAAGTATCTCATTTTTCATAATTATTATTCCTTATGCAAAGATAGCATCTTGTCGAGAAAAAAAAGAGAAATTGTTGCACGACATTGGAAATACGTGAAACAGAATTAGGTTGAATCTTTTAGGTCTGCATGTCGTATTTGAAGGTGTTTAGTTAGGGGTTATGAATGTGTTGGTTTAGCAACTCTCTTTTCATCCCATATCTTCATAACATCAGTAATACAATTATGAAATTATCAAACTTGAAAACTTATTTGGCCAAATAGAAATGCTACCACTGACCTAAGGGAAACTACTCTAATCTACACTTTTGCAGACGTACAAAGCATGGAGTTTTGTTTAAGAAAGTTTGATTGGGAACGTTATTTAAAAGAAATGACGTACTAACTTTTTTGTTTTTAGAAATACCTACCTGTTTTGTATTTTCGACAATAATCTATCTTTCTGCGGTTTATGATAATTTTAAGACATTTGAAACTTCAGTATTCAAAGGATATAATTTATGTTTTGACGTTTTGTTGTTGGCACTCACCGTTTAGGTTGTGGTTGTTTTTGGACAACAAAACTGACGAAACATAAAACTTTTATTAAAAGTAAGAAGTACATTTCTTCTACTTGTAGTTCGATAAAAGAATTTTCAACAGCACCATGTTGACAAACAAAGTTTTCATTAAAAAGACCAGACTGGGCGGGGTGATGAAGATAGTTAGGGAGATCTATCTGCGAGATGACATCAGCTGTGGGTCGGAGGGATGTTCGCGATGCGACGAGTTGATGGAGAAGATGCCTTTAGAGGAGAATCCAGTAACGAGCAGCAAACTGATTCAAGGACCACATTATATTGTTCCAGATACCAATGTCGTTTTACACCAGGTAAGATTATCATTTGGTTCAAATTTATTAATTGTGTGAACTAAAACCTGTGTGTGTGTGTCACGTCAACGTCAACTGTGTGAAGTGATCTGTGTCATGCTGTCGTGAACTGTTATCTTCTGCAGGTTTCAATTGGCAGTCCTCTCAGTCCTGCATTTAATATTTAAGTGGGCTATCCTCCGAATAATGGTTCAAAATTATCGAAAATATACCCTAACAAGGGCCTCAGTCACTTGTAAATTGTGAACATCCGGCTACTTAAATTGCAGACTTCCGTCGACTACCGCCACAGCCGAGAGTATCTCTCGTGCTGCTATGTGGGGTTAAACTAGATGGCTGGGACTCACGAGCAGCAGCTACCGCATCTTCTGCAGCTTCCGTTATTTTATTTGCTCGTGAGTCCCAGCCATCTAGTTTAGTCCCACTCCGCGCTGCACGTAGCAGTGCGAGAGATACTCTCGGCAGTTGCAGTAGTTGCCGGAAGTCCGCAATTTACATGTGGCTGAGGTCCTGTTAGTGTTAGGGTATATTTTCAGCCTCGATAATTTGGGACCGTTATTCGAAGGATAGTGGTTAAGTGTTATTAATATTAACTATTAACTTACGACAAACATTTCTCCTGTGTTCATCCAAAGATGTAAATGCCTTATGCCAATCAATACTACAACATGGCTGTTTGTTAAATTTGCACCTTTGTGGCGACACATCCGATTTGAGACTTCTGGAGACATTAGTTGTCTAAATTGGCCTTCATTGTGTCAAATACTTAATTTTTAACACTTTAAAAACAATGGAATTATATTTGTTGACCTGCTGCTCTAAGATAAGGTTATTACAGATCTGTTTGCTTATTTGTTATGTAATATAAACTATATATAGTAATATTTTTACCTACCATTGTTCTTAGTTTTTCATTGAATAGTCTCTCTTCTTCTTTTTATATTTTATAATATATTATATTTATAACCCAAGCATAATATGTGTACACCGGGCCCGGTTGGAAAAGCAAGAATAGACCCACTGTGAAAATAGAATGCGGACACTATTGGGGTTCTAACCTGGACCACTGCCCACTAAAAATCAGGCTCACTGACCACTACACAGGCAGGCTCACTGACCACTACACAGGCAGGCTCACTGACCCTACACCATCATTGTTCTTGCTAATGTATATCTGATCTAGGATGAGTGATTCCAATATTGACCTCTGTTACAGATTGACGTCCTGGAAGATTCCAGCATTCAGAATGTCATCATCCTTCAAACTGTTTTAGAGGAGGTGAGTTGCCCAGTTATCTTTCTATTCATCCACAGATGTTACTGATACATTCATCATCATAAACCGCTTCTTCTGCCCTTAAGGCTTAAGTGTGGTGGGGAGGAATAATTTTCAATCCAGTGCACGTTGGCTGCCACTGGCTATTGCCATGCTGTGAAGGCATAGACTGTCTTTAATGATGTCGATCTATATTTTTGTGGCATTCCTTGTGTTCTGGAAGCCGTTTTTCTGAGATATGTTGCCTGTGATTGTATTTGATGTTGCTGCAATCTAATCAGAAGGCTAAACCACTTGGATCTGCTGTTTTCTTCGTGAATATGGTATAAAATGTTTTTCCTACAATCTGTCTGATAGTATCTTTATTCACTTGGATGGTTAGGTTGGTGGCTTTATTCGGGCATCTCATCTCGCAGGTGTTAATGTGGGTAAGTGGGCTTGAGGTAATGTTTAATTATTCTAATGCGCATAGAGCATGGCAAGGCACATAGAACTCCCTGGTCATCCACTGCACCTAGGCATATCTCCAGTTGTCCTGACTCTGTCTTGCCACTGGACCCAGATATGACTTAAGCGAGAGAGTAAGGTTGATGACACTGCGCAACTCTTCCTCACTTTAATCCAAGTCACTGCGCAAGTCGTTCTTTCATCCTCATCTGCAGTATCAAATTCGTTGGGCTGGTCATGTGGCACACATGCCAGATCACAGGCTCCCAAAAAAACTCTTCTATGGTGAGCTGCAAAATGGGAAACGTTCCCAAGGCGAGCAAAAGAAACGCTTTAAGGACACCTTGAAGTCCTCACTCAAAGCATTTGGGAAGAATGACACTAATTGGGAGGCTGCCTCTCAAGACCGAAATGCATGGCGTGCAGCTCTACACAAGGGCGCGGCTGCATGTGAAGCAAACAGAACAGCAAGACTTTAAGAAAAGGATGGACAGAAAGGCGACTGCAGGAGATTCCTTCTCTGGTAAAACGCTCATTCCCTGTCCTCACTGTCCAAAAACTTTTGGAGCCCGCATCGGCCTCACCAGTCATCTTCGTACTCATATTTGATGAAAAAGGAGTCTTGTCCAACAGGACATCCTAGTGTGAAAACAGCTTTGAGCGCAGGAGCACATTGAGGAGACTTGCCTTATCCTGGGAAGAGAAAAGGCAAAACATCATGTTATTGCAGGGCAGGCTGCTCATGACTGGTGTGGTCATTATGGTTGCGCTAATTATAATTACTTAGATGTTGAACAGGGAATCTGTGATCTGCCTTTTTTAGTCTGCCATTCATATTGAGATTTTTTAAATCTCAGGGGGGTATGGTAAATCTTCGAGAAGCAGCCCAGAGGGGACAACCAGTGTTTTGATTGACCACATCATCGAAGCTGCAGTGGCACACCTGCTAGCATACTTGACTCTCAGTTTAGCTGTCTATGTTCAGATTCCTTTTTTGGAGTGGGTTTTTGAGAAAATTTGACGGGTTCCAGATGGGCAGATTTGAAAATGATGATGAATGTAATTCAGCATTGTGATTTGTTTCCCTAGATCCGTCACAGAAGTGCTCCGGTCTACAAGCGAGTCAAGGACATGCTCAGCAACTCCAGGAAACATTTCTACATGTTTTGTAACGAGTTCAACATGTGAGCATCTTTGTTGTCCTCACTGTCATCGCTTACAGTGAACCACCAGGCCTGCTCTGAAGTCTTGTCTGCTTATTGACTTGTTTCTTTCTTTCAAGTTACCAACAAAGTTTTATCCAGGCATTTTTATTTGTTAGCACAGGAGGTAACAGGGTCTTACGGCTGACCATTGGACCTTTATAATTGCAAACAGCAGATAATGGGGTGTGAGAAGCAACAGTGACATTCAGAATCATTTGAAATCACACTTTATTACTGGCATCTTGAGAGCTAAGAGATGGAAATGTATGGAGCATATTGAGAGAATGGCAGATAAGCGAGACAAAACTGTGTACAGAAGAGTTGAATTGTTAGTAGGCCACAAGACAGACCAAGATGGTGGTTGATAATATACATACAGACATAGAAACACTTGTAGTCACCAACAGGAAAGAGAGGGTCAGTCACAGAGATGGATGGAATGGGGTCATGTCTGTAGCAGTGAACCTCTCGGGCTCAGAATGCACAAGAAAAAGAGGCACTGGAGGTGGGGTGGCTTAGAAATACATCCTCATCAGTAGCACCAACAACATAATCAGCATCATAACACTACCACCACTACACACGACTATCTGTTGCTGACCCTAGAAGTGGCAGGTACAGTCATAACAAACTAGTGTTTACAAATATTAGATGTCAGACTCTCCCCCTTGCTCCTCCCTGATTCAGTAGGCAGTGAGTTGGAAAACTTTTTGTCCAGAGTGCTCTCTGATGGTAATGTGAGATGAACTAGTTGAGCATAGGAAAGAGCAAACCAAATAGATTTGTGTCCTGACGGTCTTCTTCTTTTTTTTTTTTAGCTCTGTTCTGCCTTTCATTGTCATGTTTTGAAGAGGCATCAGATGTGATTTATGCTACGTGGATGCTAGTATCTGTAATCTTTATATTCCACTTTTCCAACACTTTGTGGTCGATCTCTAGCTCTGCTTTCATTATGTCTAAAGGGGCTGTGGTCCACTGACTGAAGGTTTAGTTTGGTCTCCATTGTTGTGTGTGTGGCTATGTGGGTTCCAGTGAAAGAACATGCTAGTTATACCATCAAATTTTGGTATAATGTTAGCATACACATATTTGAATTTCCCACACACTGCTAAATCACTCATTGTTTGAGCTGTCCTACTTCCTTATGTTTACCGGTTGCAAACTCTGGCTGAATGTTCTGGTCGTTCATCCACTTCTGGACTTTTGTCTTGTTCCAGAACCTGAGTTTTGTGTGTGTGTGCACATCCATTTGGAAGATCTGGCTAATTTTTATATTGGCTGTTGGGTCCTCATCTTTCAGGCAGATGCATTACAAGGATACATCCCTAATTAATCACTTCGTTAGGAGGGGTGCAGTAGCTCAGTTCTTTATTCTCTAAAGTAGAAACCCAGTACCCACAGGGGACGTGAGATCTGGAGTAGTTGGAATTATCTGTTGTTAAAGTGATTATTTGTCATGCAATGTTTCCTAGGCATACGTATATAGAGCGCAAGCCAGGGGAGTCAGCCAATGACCGCAATGATAGGGCTGTGCGCAAGGCTGTGGCCTGGTATGTGGACCACCTGAAGGAGTCTGGCATTGAGGTGGTTCTGCTGACCAATGATATGGAGAACAAGCGGCTGGCACTGCAGGAGCAGCTGAAGGCTTATACAGGTTAGGAGTGGGTGTTTGTTTTTGTTTTTGTTTGTTTGTCACTTATCTTACTTTGGTGAGCGGTGGCTGTTTGTATTGTTCCTTTGTCTATCTTACTTTGGTGAGCGGTGGCTGTTTGTATTGTTCCTTTGTCTATCTTACTTTGGTGAGCGGTGGCTGTTTGTATTGTTCCTTTGTCTATCTTACTTTGGTGAAGGGTGGCTGTTTGTATTGTTCCTTTGTCTATCTTACTTTGGTGAGCGGTGGTTGTTTGTATTGTTCCTTTGTCTATCTTACTTTGGTGAGCGGTGGTTGTTTGTATTGTTTCTTTGTCTATCTTACTTTGGTGAGCGGTGGTTGTTTGTATTGTTCCTTTGTCTGTCTTACTTTGGTGAGCGGTGGCTGTTTGTATTGTTCCTTTGTCTATCTTACTTTGGTGAGCGGTGGCTGTTTGTATTGTTCCTTTGTCTATCTTACTTTGGTGAGCGGTGGTTGTTTGTATTGTCCCTTTGTCTATCTTACTTTGGTGAGCGGTGGCTGTTTGTATTGTTCCTTTGTCTATCTTACTTTGGTGAGCGGTGGCTGTTTGTATTGTTCCTTTGTCTATCTTACTTTGGTGAGCGGTGGTTGTTTGTATTGTTCCTTTGTCTATCTTACTTTTGTAGGGGATGGATGTTATGTTATTACAATGGACATCACTGCACATTAGGCATTTCCATGCGAGCTCAGTCCTCCGATGTAGCAGCCACTTGAAAGTACTTGTACTAATTGTTCCCATGGGATACTTGTTATATTGTCTCCTATCTCAGCCTGGAAGACAGCAAAGACGTGCTTCACCATACTTTACTCCTATGTCCTCATTATCCATCAGCCCAGTCCGTACAGCGTTGATGATATCTGCTCTGTCCCTGCTTTCTCCCGCAATCCTTAGTACAGTGCTTGTCAGTTGGTCCGCCCGCTCATTTCCCTTTACGCCCGCATGACCCAGTGTGTAGATTCAGGTTACGGAGTTTAAGTGTGATTTTTGAATGCTTTCTAGCCATTCAGAGCGCATACCCTCTGTTGCTATCCTCTGAAGCATTTTCATGGAGTCTGATACAATGCCTGTGTGGTGGTTTGCTCGGATACCCATGCTAAAGCTCTAGAAGCAGCAGCTATTTCCATGGTCATGCTTGACGTGGTTGTCTGGTAAGCGCCTCTGTCCCCCTGTATTGTTTTCTCCCTTCTTTGCGGTGTGTATGCCCATGCTGACCTTGATCTGCGCTTCACGGATCCATCTGTGTAGATGATATCTTCTGGGTCTGAATGCTAATCTATCAGTTCCCTTACTTCTGTGCCTCCGGCAGCAGGAATTTGATCCCTGCAGTACCCTCCGTGATGCCAAGCATGTCTACTTGCTGGTGTATTCGTCCATTCTTTTCCGTGACTGATGACGTCTAGGTCACATACCTGCTAGATTAAATCCTTAGCCTTCGCATTCAAAGATCGGCCTCTTTTGAGACTCGTTCCTTTTGTGTTGTGTTTAGCTTTGTGCAGTGGGTGGTTAACGTCTGACGATACCCTTATGCGCGCCTTGACCTGTGCCACTTTGTATCTGCTAGTCATCGTCTACAAACCCAGGACATAACGAATGGCGTTATCTTGTAATCGGTCCAGTCTGTCTAGCTGGGTTTTGCTGACAGTGAGAAGGTCAAGACCATAGTCAGTGACGCTTAATACAAGCCCTTGATAGAGAAGGAAAACTAGGCGTTGTTCAGTATAAACCGCTGCTAGCACCTTGAGTGCTGTCAGACCTTTCCTGGCTCTAAGTATGACGTTGTCTACGTGGCATTTGTATGACAAGCATCTGTCAAATATCATGAGTATTTTATGGTATCTGTTCTCTCGATGACCACACCTCATATGCTTACGACTGGCGTTGGTGTACTGACGATGTGGGTTTTTAGAGAGAACCATGTTAAGGAGGCTTTGCACGGGTTCACTTGAGCTCTTGATTGCTAGCACCACTCACTAAGTCTGTCTAGTTCGTGTTGTAGCGTGGTTGAAATTTCCTGCCTGTTTTTAACTCGACGGTAAACAAGGATAACATCTGCATACGGCATTGTTCTGCCTAGGCCTACGCTTTGTGCACTCATCAATCCTGATATGTTCACATTGAAGAGCACAGGCGACAATGGTGATCCCTGGGGCATACCCATAAGGACGTGTTGAGGTTTGGATGCCCACTCACCACATCGAAGTGACACTGTTGTTTCAAATAGCGCTGATGGATCCAGTTGACCAATTTTGTTTCTATCTGCATATTCAACAGCAGGATGGATGTTTGTATTGTCACTTATTTTACCTTGGTGAGAGATGGATGTCTGTATTGTCACTTATCTTATCTTAGTGAGAGAGGGCTGTTTGTATTGTCACTTATCTTACCTTGGTGAGGGATGGATGTCAGTATTGTCACTTATCTTACCTGGTTGAGAGGGCTGTTTGTATTGTCACTTATCTTACTTTGGTGAGGGATGGATGTGTGTATGGTCACTTATCTTACCTTGGTGAGAGATGGATGTTTGTATTGTCACTTATCTTACCTTGGTGATAAGTGGCTATAGACACCTGGAGTACTAGCAAGAAAGAGAAGGCCAGTGACATCATTTAACACTGGTGTGGCAACCTCAGAGGCTTAGAAGATGATGATTATCGTTAGATTAAAATAATGGGATAATTCAGTGATTATCTTTATGATGTACCTGTGGACATTTCTGTCTTGTGGACCATACATGAACATGTTGGAGAGCAGAGATATTGATTACTGTTGTCTGTCTTGTTCTTCATTTTCAGTCCATGACTACGTCAGAAGTCTGGCCAGTCAGACACTCATTGACATCCTGGCAAATCCACTGAACCAGTCAGTAAGTGTGCCATGTGTTTGGTTTATTGTCCGTTTGTATAAGTTTTTTTTCTCCTAACAATGTAACCACAGACTAAAATAAAAGTGCTATGGCTGTTGGGTAAGTGCAGAATAAAGTTATCATGTGAGAGATGTGTGTTTGGTGACTTTTTTCTGTGAATAGAGATAGACATCCCAGGATGGTTACTGTCAGAGCCAAAGTGCTGATGGATCCATCTTCTCCTTTACTTTCACCCTTAAAAGTGCAGTTGACACATTATCTTGTAGTTTACAGATAGTCTGTGATATTTATACCTTTTGGGATAACAAATCTGATTTCACCAGACCCTTCAGCTAGTCACCTTTTATGACATGCTTGTTAAAAGGCAGGTTTTCTGATTAATTCCCCCCCCCCCCCCCGCCCCCCACATCCCCTCTAAAATGTGGTTACTGAATCACACAGGGAAATTGACCAGTGATAGTAGCACCAAGTCTAAACACCATAAAATACTCTCTGTGTGGGTTCCTGGCTGCCTTTGTTTGTGAGGGAGCGGGGTAGACCCACTGCCCTATCTCCAAACACACGCCATAAAGGTTGGCTACTAATTAGGGGTGTTTCCTTCGAAGTTGGGAATCTCATCTCCCAACTAATGGGGGATATTTCCTTCGATGTCAAAGTGTATCTGCATGAGAGAGGAGGAAACATTAGTCTGCATACAGTTAAGCCAGATCTGTAAAACAGATGTGCATGCACAAGTCAAGCTCTGGAACAAGACCAACTTTGAGAAGTTGACAAACAACCAGAACTTTCTGCTGTGTTCACAGCTGGTGAACTAAAGAAGACCATAAAGTACATACACACACCAGGGAAAAAGTGGAAGTTAAAAGAAATTCTAAGGTAGCCGCACATTCCAAAGTAGAAGAAAAAAGATTACCTAAACATCAAGTGTCTGAACACCCCAGGATAGAATAAGAAAGGTATAATGATTATATAATTCTGATTTTCTGCTGTTATGTTATTCACTTACCAGGCCATTGGCGGGGAGAAGATAATGTTCTCGGAACATCTGGGCCTGGCAGAGATACAAAAAGGCATCCGGGCAGGCCGCTACTTACAGGGCACTATTCTCATCAGCAGGGAGAATTACCTGGAGGCCAACGTCAGCGTCAGGGACCAGGAACGAATGGTGAGTATCATCCCCACAAGTCTTGTTATCACAGTTTTTACTTCTCTTGGATGCTCAGTCATCCATTACAAGACATCTCAAGTTACCTCTTGTGACTGTTCTCATAATATGTTAGTTACACTGTATCTTAAATCAACTGTGAAAATGACACTGACATGCTTCACTCCAAGGTCATGTAATCATGTTAGCCTAAGAGATTTGTCTTTATCTGTCAGTATAGTTCATATAGCTCTGTTGATAGGAGACTTGCTTTCAAATCCAGCTGCGACTCGCTGCAGCCCACGGCCGGTGTTCGAAACTGGGCGGTTCCCAGGGTTCACCCAGCCTCTAGGAAATTGGTACTAGAGTTGACACTTTAGGAGTAAATGGAGGAACGTCGCTGTAGCTATGGAGTTTCGTGCAGATGACAACACAGGCGGACAGTTTCTTATCAGTTGTTTGTACTGGTGGCAGAGTACTTATAGTTTATAACCGTTTGCAGTGATGCTGGTTCACATCTCCCGACTTTACCTTTTACCTTTAAAGCTGCTGTGTCCGTCATTTTCCTGCATGCAGTGGTGAACTACTAGACAGCTTCTCTGCTCATTCATTGCCTTTTAGTCCAGCATGTCCAGATGTGTGGGTCCAGATGTAGGTGTTTAAGTGTGACTGCTGAATGCTGTTTGTCCATTTAGAGTGCAGGCTGCCTGTTGCACTTTCCTTAAACATGTTTCAGAAGTCTATATGATCTCTGCATGTACGGCTGGTTCTTGATCTCAACTTTCTCCTGCACAAGTAACACACTATAGCCCATATTTTATGTTTGATAATACTTCTTTCTTCAAGTCCAGGCGTGCCAGAGTTTGCTATGTGGATTTAGTACAGAAATCCTGGCAGAGGTTGCTTTTGTCAGTGATCACTTTTATTGCACACAGGTATCTTCACCTCTCATTGACTACCACATTTATTGCACACAAGTATCTTCACCTCTCATTGACTACCACATTTATTGCACACAGGTATCTTCACCTCTCATTGACTACCACATTTATTGCACACAGGTATCTTCACCTCTCATTGACTACCACATTTATTGCACACAAGTATCTTCACCTCTCATTGACTACCACATTTATTGCACACAAGTATCTTCACCTCTCATTGACTACCACTTTTATTGCACACAAGTATCTTCACCTCTCATTGACTACCACTTTTATTGCACACAGGTATCTTCACCTCTCATTGACTACCACATTTATTGCACACAGGTATCTTCACCTCTCATTGACTACCACATTTATTGCACACAGGTATCTTCACCTCTCATTGACTACCACATTTATTGCACACAAGTATCTTCACCTCTCATTGACTACCACTTTTATTGCACACAGGTATCTTCACCTCTCATTGACTACCACTTTTATTGCACACAGGTATCTTCACCTCTCATTGACTACCACATTTATTGCACACAAGTATCTTCACCTCTCATTGACTACCACATTTATTGCACACAAGTATCTTCACCTCTCATTGACTACCACATTTATTGCACACAGGTATCTTCACCTCTCATTGACTACCACATTTATTGCACACAGGTATCTTCACCTCTCATTGACTACCACATTTATTGCACACAAGTATCTTCACCTCTCATTGACTACCACATTTATTGCACACAAGTATCTTCACCTCTCATTGACTACCACATTTATTGCACACAAGTATCTTCACCTCTCATTGACTACCACATTTATTGCACACAAGTATCTTCACCTCTCATTGACTACCACATTTATTGCACACAAGTATCTTCACCTCTCATTGACTACCACATTTATTGCACACAGGTATCTTCACCTCTCATTGACTACCACATTTATTGCACACAGGTATCTTCACCTCTCATTGACTACCACATTTATTGCACACAAGTATCTTCACCTCTCATTGACTACCACATTTATTGCACACAAGTATCTTCACCTCTCATTGACTACCACATTTATTGCACACAAGTATCTTCACCTCTCATTGACTACCACATTTATTGCACACAAGTATCTTCACCTCTCATTGACTACCACATTTATTGCACACAGTATCTTCACCTCTCATTGACTACCACATTTATTGCACACAGGTATCTTCACCTCTCATTGACTACCACATTTATTGCACACAAGTATCTTCACCTCTCATTGACTACCACATTTATTGCACACAAGTATCTTCACCTCTCATTGACTACCACATTTATTGCACACAGGTATCTTCACCTCTCATTGACTACCACATTTATTGCACACAGGTATCTTCACCTCTCATTGACTACCACATTTATTGCACACAAGTATCTTCACCTCTCATTGACTACCACATTTATTGCACACAAGTATCTTCACCTCTCATTGACTACCACATTTATTGCACACAAGTATCTTCACCTCTCATTGACTACCACATTTATTGCACACAAGTATCTTCACCTCTCATTGACTACCACTTTTATTGCACACAAGTATCTTCACCTCTCATTGACTACCACATTTATTGCACACAGGTATCTTCACCTCTCATTGACTACCACATTTATTGCACACAAGTATCTTCACCTCTCATTGACTACCACATTTATTGCACACAAGTATCTTCACCTCTCATTGACTACCACATTTATTGCACACAAGTATCTTCACCTCTCATTGACTACCACATTTATTGCACACAAGTATCTTCACCTCTCATTGACTACCACATTTATTGCACACAAGTATCTTCACCTCTCATTGACTACCACTTTTATTGCACACAAGTATCTTCACCTCTCATTGACTACCACATTTATTGCACACAAGTATCTTCACCTCTCATTGACTACCACATTTATTGCACACAAGTATCTTCACCTCTCATTGACTACCACATTAATTGCACACAAGTATCTTCACCTCTCATTGACTACCACATTTATTGCACACAAGTATCTTCACCTCTCATTGACTACCACTTTTATTGCACACAAGTATCTTCACCTCTCATTGACTAGTACTTTTATTGCACACAAGTATCTTCACCTCTCATTGACTACCACTTTTATTGCACACAAGTATCTTCACCTCTCATTGACTACCACATTTATTGCACACAAGTATCTTCACCTCTCATTGACTACCACATTTATTGCACACAAGTATCTTCACCTCTCATTGACTACCACATTTATTGCACACAAGTATCTTCACCTCTCATTGACTACCACATTTATTGCACACAAGAATCTTCACCTCTCATTGACTACCACATTTATTGCACACAAGTATCTTCACCTCTCATTGACTACCACATTTATTGCACACAAGTATCTTCACCTCTCATTGACTACCACATTTATTGCGCACATGTATCTTCACCTCTCATTGACTACCACATTTATTGCGCACATGTATCTTCACCTCTCATTGACTACCACATTTATTGCACACAAGTATCTTCACCTCTCATTGACTACCACATTTATTGCACACAAGTATCTTCACCTCTCATTGACTACCACATTTATTGTGCACATGTATCTTCATCTGTCAACTACCACATTTATTTTACACAAGTATCTTTCCCTTTCATCAACTACATTTATTGCACACAAGTATCTTCACCTCTCATTGACTAGTACTTTTATTGCACACAAGCATCTTTACCTTTCACCAACTACCAATTTTATTGCATCCACAATCTTGTCGACTACATGTGCTACTACAGGTCAGGAAATAGTTCACATAATAATTTTGTTCCAGGTGCATGTACAAAACTTAAAAATAGTAATTGCTCTTACTTAATAACTTCCCCTTGCAATTAGCAGTTAGACGTAAAATCAAACAGTGATTGAGTTGTATGTGTGCAGATGTTCAACTGTCCCTGCAACTCCTCAGATATTTGTTCAAGGCTTGCAGAACCTCAACCGAGCAGTTAATGATGATGTTGTTGCCATTGAGATGCTGCCAGAATCAGAGTGGAGCTGTCCCTCCTCTCTTGTGCTGGCGGAGGATGAGTCCATGGATGAGGAGGATGAGATGAACCGAATCAATGACAGTGTAAGCCCTGTAGCTGATATTTGTTGTTTGATATTTAGATATATACATACACATATGTATAACTGTAAAGTAAAGGACCCTTCTTCAGGCCTCCTGGTACTTTGGGCATATACTAGGCCTATATTTTAGTGGCCAACTATATTTGTTTGGTGATGTGATCAACATAATGCCTGCTGCCATTACTTCCCAGTACTTTACCTAGTACTCATTTAATGCACGGGTCGCCCTGGGAGACAAGCTCATTTTTGTTTGAAACAGTCCGGCTGCACCAGGACCTGAACTCATGACCTTTAGGTCTACATGTGAGCATCAAGCCACTACCCCATGACTTGTATAATAGCCAGATGGACAGATGTTTTGGCTAAACACTTGAAATGACAGTGTTTTGTTTTGTGATTTTGAAATCACCATGCTTGTTCCTGTTATAAGATTTGTCTATGCCACTGTCAGAAAGAGGGTGCTAAAGTGTTACATAGAACCTGTTCTGTTGGATGGCAGCCAATCTTGGAATGTCACTGAACAGATCAAGAAGAATTTGGAAACAACAGAGATGTGGTTTCTGAGACGATTGTTACGAATACCTTGGACGGCCAGAGTAACTAACAACGATTTCTTGAAAGAGGCTAATGAACGGATCTCTATATACAACAATAAGAAATAGACAAACACTGTTCTTTGGCCACGAAAAGAGAAGAGAGACATTGGAGAACATTGTGACAACTGGAAAAATCAGTGGAGAAAAGGGGTAGAGGCAGACCAAGAGAGATGATGCTGGATAAGCTGAAACAATGGACAGGTTCCAGGCAACCAGAGATTGTGATCTGTGGAGAGGCATGAGCGCCTAGGCCGGTTGGCAGGGCTCATGATGATGATGGCTGCGACTTAGTAATCTTCTGACTAGCCTTACAAGTATCTTCATGTATTGCCTGTGTAATGCACAAACGTTAGACCATTGAAATTTGATAGAACTTGATCATTTTATAAAATGGTATAGCAGTCGTACTTTTCATCTCTTTATAAATACCAGGAAGTGTCTACTCCTTGCGTGAATCACACAGTTGATAAGTGGTATTGATATTGAGTTGAGAAACGGCTGGCCAAATGGTTAAACATGTTGAGTTTCCATGTGGGAAACCCAGTTTCAAATCCTCAGTTTGTCTGCCTAAGGTAAAAATCCCATCTGAACTTGCACAGTCTGTGACACCTGCACTAGCCCTGTGGCTATAAATGCTCCAGTCCTCGCGTGCTTACACCACATGAGTGGTCAGGGCAAGCAGTTATTGATATGGAGATGCAGCATGGTTGTAGAGGGCATTCTTCTTTTTCTTGAAAGTCAGTGCTGTATAGTGTTCGTAGTCGTGTCTATCTACTTCCTTCTGTCTCATGTACGTTCAGTCAACTCTGACATAGATGATCCTCCATACCATGATGTCAGACTTCCCAGCATCTTCTCTCTCTGTTTCCCTCTGCCTCTCTTCCCCTCCAGCTTCCCTGTTGTCATGATCTATTCCAGCTGTCTCCCTCTGATGTGGGCAGTCAGTTCTCTTCGTGACCGGGTTTCTTTCAAGACATCCTCATTGTTATTTTTTCTGTCCAGGGTATTCTCATCATTTGTCTATAAAACCACATCTCCGCAGCTTCCAAATAATTGTTCACTAATCGCCCAGCTGTCCATGATTCAATTTTGTATATCAGATAGGATTTATACAGCTTTCAAGAATTCTCTTTCTCATCCTAATTGACAAGGAAAGATTGGAAGGCTTACAGTGTAAGATAATACTGTTTCCTTCTTCTTTTCTCTACTCCTGTATGCCTCACTGCATCAGAGCAGGAAGAGAGCTTTGCAAAAGGCTCAGTTCCTGAGTTCTCTTCATTTTTTCTACAAACACTTAATAAGCCACTGTCAGTTGATGGACCAGTCACTGTGTTTCCAAACTTCTTCATGTAGTCACATTTGAACTAGACGTGTCACACTCAGAGTAGTATTACAATACCATTTAAGATTGCTAAATTCTAATGTTTTTTGTGATGACTCCACTCATACAGTTGTCTTCTCTGTTTAGGAAGCTCTAGTATCCAATAAAGTACCAAAGGAGCTGCGACAACCCACGGCTCGTGTTGTTGGAATCATCAAGAGAAACTGGCGGCAATATTGTGGCATCCTCCAGCCCTCAATTATCAAAGAGGTCAGTTCTAGTACTCCATGATAACTGCTGCAATGTATGTAGTCATACTCGACATAGCAGAGTTAATATAGTGTACAAGAGAGATTGACATGATTGTTTAGGAGAGAATAGGGTAAGCACCATGTCCTAATTGATTTATGTGGTGCAGGCAACAGGGCTGCCACTTGGGAGTTGTATTGATGATTTTTGTGGATGAGGTAAAATAGTGGATCAGTCATGTGACTTGTCAGATGAGGATAGCGAAGGCAATCCTTGTGTGCACATTGAAAACCTAAACAGTTTTTCTTCAATGAATAGAACAGGCAGACAAATTGGCTGGCTCTACACCAAAGGGTTATGGATTTATGCATGACAAGCTGCATTTGGTCCAGGCATTATTGGAGCAAGTGAACAGAGAGGAGACATGGATCGATCATTATGGTCTGGAGAGAATGGTACAGCTGGGGGTGACCGGGTGAACTCGTACACGCTCTGCACTCAGAAGAAAAGCAAGAAGGACATACAAACTGTTACTGGCACTGTTAGAAATGGAACTCTTGGCTAACTGTTCTAGGTTGGGATGAAACACTTATGAGAAAGTCCTGAGTGCTGTGATAACAGTTTTTAGCTCAACGCTCATCTGTTCCTTTGCAACTGAGAATTGAAAAGCTTGCCAGATAGACCACGGTCCATGCTCAATTAAAAATTATAAATCACACAATAATATTTATAACGTAGGAGTTTTCCCCATAGTCAGGAAGACAAAAACCTGATGGTACAGTGTGTCAAATTGTGGCAGTTTTGAAAATGGGTGCGTCTGAACTTGTAAAAAATCCATTATGCTACCACTTTTGTTCCCACAGAGGACCCGCCATCTGTTCATCCCTGCAGAGAAGAGAATCCCCAAGATCCGAATAGAGACCCGCCAGGCTGAGACCTTATCTTCCAAGAGGATCATTGTGGCCATTGACTGCTGGCCCAGAAACTCCAGATATCCTTTGGTTTGTTCTCTTTCTTCTCCATGTGCATTTTTTTTAGGAGAGTGGGGTATTTTTATTTCATTAGTTGTCCTTTTAGTCTTGGTTGTTTTCTATCTTTTGATTATTGTTATTATTTTTAATTTTTTTTACATACTTTTGTTTTGTTTTGTCTTGTGTTGTTGTGTCTTTTCCTGTTCTCTACTCCTGGAACGCCTCGAGGCATCAGGGCAACGCCCCTTTCATTCTGGTCAGTTTGTGAGATCTCTTCATTGTTCTATGAGCACTAAGTTAGCCACTGTGGCTTGCTGGATCAGTCACTGTTTTACATTTTCCGAGAATGTCACACTTGAACTAGACTATAACATCCAGACTAGTTTAACTCAACTTCCACGCTAGGGTGTCCGAAACTGATTCTGATTAGATGCTGGCCGAAAAATGAACATCCGCTTGCCTCACCATCTTGACCGGAAGCCCTCACAAGTTTTATTTCAGTTTTTAACAAATGTAAGGGGTAATGGTTTGGGGGGTAATTTGTGTGGCTTATGCAATCTCGGTCCAATTACTTTTATGTTTGTTTTATTTCTGTTAGGTTAATATTTCTTGTAGTTTTGTATATCAGGGTAGATGTACTATTACTTCGACGAAGCACATTTTTCTAACTTGATTATTCTGTATTGTGTTCTTTTGTAGGTAAGTAATGTCAAATCCTATTGAGCCTTTTACCTGCATCCCAGTTCCCTATTTTTACACACCAGACAACACACTATTGGTGATGCAATCAATATGAAGTTGGAAATATATTTCTTTCTAGACAGTTTTGATACACCCATTTTAGTCTGCATTTATCAGGGGGCCTTGTCTCCTAGGTCAGTCCAGCCTCAAATATGTACCAGGCAGTGTTATGGGAAGTAAAGGTGGCCAGTGTGATGTTAACCACACCACTCGTCAAGTGCGGATTGGTCTATACAAATAGGTGTCTATCATCATATGCCAGATACTCCCTATGTGGGTTGCTGGGCCCATTCTAGGGGAAAAGAATAAACTCCCTACCTTCCTGACAGGCATGTCGTACAAGGTGACTGATCAGGGGAGTTGCCTCTGAAGTCCGAGTGCTTCTGTCAGAGAGGCGAGGAACCAACAGTTTGCATATAAATAAATCAGATGTGTAAAACTGATGTGTATGCAAGACTGTGGAACAAGACCTAAGTCTTGAAATGGATCAACAACCAGAATTTTATGCTGAAAAGAAGAAGATATGCTACCTACACCACTGATGTAAGAGGGAGTTCAGTACTTACCAAGGAGCTCCGATTGATTTAAACAAACAAAATCACCTTTGTGTAGAGATTTGAACACTTGTGCTCTAATCCTTGCAGATATGGGCTATACAAATTGATACTAAACCCTTGTGGTTGCTTTTCTTGTGTACAAGTAAAAGATCTAAGGGCTTGTGGGTGAGCAACAGACTCATGGTAGGTGAGCAACAAACTCATGGTGAGCAGAGAAAGAGATTGATCTGGGTAGCTCATTTAAAACTTAACTTCACTAAATATAAGTTTCACGTTACTTCATTAAGAGGTAAAGTAACAGAGAGGATTTGGTTACTGAGATCTTTGATTTCTTGTTGTTTGCTGCATTGTCTTCTGTCTAGTCTTGTTCTTCTTCCCGTTCTCCAGCCGTAAACTCTGCCGGAAGGTTCTGGTCGTTCATCCACTTCTAGACTCTAGTCCTGTTCCAAAAACTGTTTGTTGCATGCACATCTTGTTTCCTTGCCTCTCAGGCAGATATACTCCGACTTCGAAGGAAGCTCTCAATGAGTCCACTTTTACGACATGCTTGTTGGGGAGACAGTGGGTCTGTTCTTGTTTTCTGCATAATGGGGCCTGAAATTCACACAGGGATTCTGTTTAGTGAAGTTGAAATATACATATGATTGATGTCAAACTACTTGAGTCTCATATGAATGAGCAAATTAACCATCTTCCACAATTTTTGTGTTAATAAGAAGATCACTTAAGAGATGATGCAGCATGTTGTTGTTGCTGTTATTGACAGGGTCACTTTGTCCGATGTCTTGGGGAGGTTGGAGACAAGGACACTGAGAACGAGGTTCTCCTTCTGGAGCATGATGTCCCACATTCAAACTTCTCCGAAGCGGTGCTCAGCTTTCTACCCAAGATGCCTTGGACTATCACAGAGGATGTAAGTCTCAGCTGAGTCCCATTGTTTTGTGTGTGGGATAATAATTAAATGTTGTGGAGATGCTTCCAGGTGGCATTGAGAGTTCTCGTCTCTGCAGCTCACATACTGGTTTTCTCCTCACAGTCTGATGCTCTCCGATATTTTCATTAAGTTTTGACACCCATAAATATACCTATATCTAATAAGGCAGATCTAATAACTATTTTTTGACCAGTTTTCCGCTATCAGTGTCAAACATGGACCCTTGCTAGAACTAATGAATGCAAGATCACAACAGATATGAGTTGTCTCAGAGGTGCTGATGGAGTAACAAGAAGAGGTCAAGTTAAAAATGAAAAAAAATGAGAAGAGGACTTGGACTGAGTCAGACCCATCACAGGGTTTGCTAAAGAGCAACAGATGAGGTGGTTTGGCCATCTGACAAGAATTGCGGTACCAGCTACCACAGAGAGAGCAAAACGATACACACAGTGCATTGGAAAGACCACACAAAATTTGGAACATCATCATCAAGAGCATCCTCAAGGAAGGGAAGACTTGTGCAGTGTCTTATAAGCACACAGAACATCCTTACAACCCCTGACTATCCCCAAAAACATGACATCTCTGCTGCATCTGATGTACACTTATTTATATTTTTGGTGTTTTATAGGTATATAGAATGTTTGTATGTGCTCTGGATGGGTAGAAAGTGTGAGAAAATTGCATTAACCTCCCTCACCTGGATCTACACACCTGGTCATGCTGGCGTAAAAGGTAATAAGCAAACAGACCATCTGGCAAGAAGTGCACTAACACATGTGGGAAAAAGGCTGGACAGAGCAGATATCATCAATGCTGTTCTGCTAGGCTTGTGGATAATGAGTCTCTGACACTAACACTATTGCATGACATGAGTGTAAAGCATGGTAGAGCACATCTATGCCGTCTTTGAGGCTGAATAGGAGACATTATAACAAGCCTCTCATGGGAACAATTATTAGAAGTACCTTAAAGTGGCTGCTACATCGGAGGACTGAGCTCGTATGCAAATATCGATTGTGCAGTGACGTTGAATGTGATAACATAACATAGCATATCATTTCATTCTGAATGACAATTTTGATTATTTCCATTTTTCCCTACCAGGACTTGAAACGTCGTCGTGACCTGCGGCACTTGAATATCTGCAGTGTTGATCCGCCAGGTTGTACTGACATTGATGATGCTCTGCACTGCAGACTGCTGGACAATGGTAACTATGAGGTGAGAATGTGTATTTGACAAAAGTATGTTGACATTATCTATACACCAGTTGAAGTCAAGTGAACACCTTTGCCTACATGAATAAATAATTCAAGAATTGATATCACTGCATTCAGGACATTACCACACGTGCTCCATACCCCTCCACACCTGATTGACACTGCAGTTGCTATGGCTGGTCCAGTACTGGACAGAAGTGATGTTATCAATGCTATGCGCTGCACACCGTACCGAGGAGCATACCAAAGGACATGACTCCATATCCTTGTCTAGACTAATGGACATGGGGGTGCAGCCTGGAGCTGCAAGAAATGAACATTTCACTAAGAGGACAAGACGTTTCAGTAACCAACATAGAACAGGCGTCATCAGTCATTGTACACTTTGGAGCTTTCTAGGAGGAGATCGGAGCACCCGTGGATCTGTCCGGAGTGCTGTGATGATAATCCTTTCTAATCACTAATCACCTGATTGACTTGTTTTATTTTTGTAAATCTGAGTGATTTGGTGTTTTCTTTTTTTAAATCTAATTGACTTGGTGTCTTATTCTTGTAAATCTGATTGATTGGTGATTGACAGGTGGGTGTTCACATTGCTGATGTCTCTCACTTCATTCGGCCCGGCAATGCCTTGGATCAGGAGGCAGCTAACAGAGGAACTACTGTTTACCTAACTGACAGAGTGAGTATTAGATTGTATGTCAGTTTGAGTCAATCATTTCTGACAATGTCTCCCATGTTTAGCAGATGGATTGGCCTCAGAAGTGTACTATCTGGGAGAAAAATCGTGCTACAGCTAGAGATGAACCAGACCACCAGTCTTGCCAGGCAAGTTCACTAACCACCTTGTGTTACTGTGCCGACTAGGAGCCAGAAGCTTGGAGGAGTTGGTAATGCTTGTAGAAAATGCTGGCTGGCTGTTGAAGCTTTTCACATACAGCACTTTTGTCTTCACCTGTTGTGCCTAGTACCATATATTTCTGTGTACGGAACAATCTGTTTTACACATTTTTTTTTAGGTTTAAAATTTGGAGAGTCGTCTTATACACATAATTTAATTAAAATATTGATTTCCTATTTTTACAAAAATATGGGTCGTTTTATTTGCTCAAAAATAATATTTCCTCACATGACTTGTTTCTTGATTCCTTCCCCTCTGCCCTGTACTTTTTATTGTCTTTTCCTTGTGGCCATGTTGTGTAATCTAATCGTTCTAACTGATCTGAATACTTCAATGTTTTATTTTCTTCTCTTCCTCTGTAGATTTTGGTATCCCATTTAGGTTGGTGGGGGGGGGGGGTGTAATAACCCACTGCTCACAACAAACAAGTCGGTAGAGGCAACTAATTGAGAGACTGCCGAAGTCAGATGTATTTCTCCAAAAGGTGCCAATATACCATCCAAACTGTGACCTGCAAATAACATACCAACTCCCTTCTAAAGGCTAACACAGAAGGGAGTTCTTCTCTCGCTACACCTTTCCCAACTTTTATTGTTATAATGATATTTCCACCACCTTCAGTGCCTTTACCATCACATTACTGATTGTCCCAAATCCTTAATTAGGATGTTGTCACGGTGACTACTTGTCATTTGTTACAGAGAATCGACATGGTGCCTGACTTGCTGAGTTCCAACTTGTGCTCACTACGTAGTGCCGTCAACAGGTGAGTGTAGGACATCATTGCTGTACCATTTTTTGTTTTGTTTCACTCAGTCTGTTACGGAGCTGTTGTAGTGGCATCCATTTGGGGCAGTTAATATACTGGAGCAAAAAGGTAAAGGTAAAGTCGAGAGATGTGAACCAGCGTCATTGCACACGGTTAGAAACCATAAGTGCTCTGATACCCTCACTGGAGCACTAACTTTGATATCATCAATGCATTTGTTGTTGAAGTCTTGAAGGAAGAGCAGTATTTGTAAATCTTAGCATTGTTGAGTACAGTGAGATCTCTTTCTGCAGCTCAGAGGAATCAGGTTAGACCAAATAACTAGACAACAATTTTGATACTAACGGAAAGTGTCTTTCATCTCTACATTTTTATTCTGAAATTGTGAACTAAAATTCTGCTGATGTCATTTCATCAGTTCATTTCAGAAGTTCATCTTGAACTATTAATTACTTTTGTTCTTTACTTATTTGTTCATAATTTTTTTTTTTTTTTAGCTAAGTCTGGGCAATTTCATGAAAATGCCATAATTGATGTTGGTCTTCCTTCAGTGTCGTATTTGATCCGGCTCCTCAAGTAACTGTAGTTTTGCAAAGAATTCAGCAGATAGAATGTTAGGAAAGATCTACTGTATTAGACAGATGTAGAGTTTTCAGCATAGTCCCAATGACTTTAAAAAAAAAAGTCAATTGCAGTGCCAATAGTGATGCAAAATTGTTTACACAGACCAAAACAATGGGCGTGGTACCAAAGTACGGTTTTGCTTGTAAAGGCTAAAATAGTACTAAATTTGTATGAAAGCACCAACTTCAGCAGCCCTGGTCCTTATTACTTTGGAGTTTCCTTATGTCTGCTTCTTTTTCTATCCACTCTGAAACATGTGACCTCGGTGTGTTTGTCTTCATATTCTTGTACCCATGACTATTCTCACTGCCTTTGAACAGTTGTGTCAGTTGCACCTTGAAAGAAATGGATATTTTGCTATTTCAGCTTCTCTTTCTCTCCAATTTTGCATCCCAAAAAAAGATATCAAGCCAGACAAGAACCAGAACCAGTCAGCAACACAATATTACAAACACAATTGACAAGTTGGCCTTGCCGCTATAAAACCTTCATCAGCATATTACATAAACCAACACTACTACATGGACAAACAAGAATACACAATCACTTATCTGACTCCCCCGTGTGGGTTCCGGGGCCCCATTGTGGGGAAAACAAGAATAGACCCACTGCCTCCCCAAAAGCATGTCGTAAGAGTCGACTAATTGGGGAGCTTCCTTTGAAGTCGGAGTGCATCTGCCGGAGAGGCAAGGAACCAACAGTCTGTATTCGAGAGAATGAGATCTGTAAAACTGATGCACACGCAACACTCAGGTTCTGGAGCAGGACTGCAGTTCAGTAGTGGACGAACAACCAGAACTTTCCGCCAGAGTGTACAGCTGGTGAACGTGAAGAAGAAGAAGACTTATCTGACTTATTAATTCCTGATAACCATCACATTGCAGTCCAGCCAGTTAAAGGAATTTCTGATATGTTTTTTCATTAGAGTGTTAAATTGTGAGATTCATCTGCCTAATGTTTATCGATTTTTTATCACTATTATGACACCATCTCATTATTGAGTCTGGCATGTTGATATGTGTCGTCATTCTGTTGATAAAGATCACAGCTGATGATTAAGGCAGCTTCCCTGAGTCCTCTTAATTAAGTCCTGTACTTCCTGCTGTGGTTCTGGGGCCCTTGGGGTTAGAAGAATTGATCCACTGTCTCCCTAACTAGCCACATGTCGTACAAGGCGACTAATTAAAGGAGTTTCCCTTTAAAGTTAGAGTGCACCTGCCTGAGAGGTGAGGACCCACAGTCTGCAGACAAACCAAAATCCGTTAAACAGGTATGTATGCAAAACTCAAGTTCTGGAACAAGACTAAAGTCGAGAAGTGGATGAACAACCAGAACTTTCGACCAGAGTTTACAGCTGGTGAATACTAAAAGAAGAAAAAGAAATCCTTCACATATTTTTGAGAATATTTTCAGAGAAAGGGATACAATATATAACTTTTTGCAATCGGAACTGTTGATGGAAAATTTGCAACGGGAAGACCAGGATAAGCAGGACAGGACATGACCGATACCATAATTGTGATGATCAGTGAGATGGTGAACCATGACCACCTGAGCTTATTGACCAGGTACAGGCTGATAGATTTACTGTGTTCTCTGATTATTGAGACTAGCTCTTTCCTGTTTTCATTCACTGTTATTTATCTAACCTCCTTTATGTGTGCTGTAAGATGCCTCTTTGCCTCTGTCTAGGTTTGCTTTCTCTGTGCTGTGGGAAATGACACCTGAAGCTGAGATAGTCAACTGTGAGTTCACCAAGAGCATTATTGACTCCAAGGTAAGTGTCAAGTGCTGAAGTTTCTCCTGTTTCCAGCCATTCACAGAACTGCTAATTACACATCACATGTTGTTTGGGACCCACAGAGTTGAAAACACTTTATTATATATATGTATATAAATAATTCTATATTTACACTTTTAACAACCAGAATATCACATCCAAAGACAATAGAAGACCAAGCTGTAGCCTGTGTTGCTGTTATACATTTACTGAAGTGATACAGAGAACAAACAATTAACAACATAGATGTGACTTTTTCAGGCTTCATTAACCTACGCCGAGGCCCAGATGAAAATTGATGATCCAAATGCTACAGATGACTTGACTCAGAGTTTACGAGGGCTCAACCGATTGGCTAAAATTCTCAAGAAAAAACGCATAGATAATGGGTAAGTAACTCAGCTGAGCTAATTAACATTCATGTATTGAGAGTGATCTCCACTTTGTGTGTGCAACAAATGAGCATATATTTATATTGGCTAGCAATCAGATTCACTGTTGACATGTTTTGCCTAGAACAAGAAATAAGATGGCTGACCAGTTATTAACGTCTATGTTTTTTCTCATCAGCTCACGAAGGCAGCCTTTATAAGATAGCTCCTGTATAAGTAAAATATCGGCATCTGTGGCTTAGACATTGCGACTAAGCTCGGTTATGCCAGGTTTGATTTCAGCTGCAGTCGATCTGGCAGCAGACCATCTTGCCTTGGTTTCAACAGTGGTATTAAGAGTTGACTGTTCAGAAAGCAGTAGCAAAGGACGGAACGTAAATTTGCCTAGAAGATCCGCAACAGATAAAAATGCTTTGGTTGGTTATGCAACATCCTGTAAAGTAAAAAAAGCAACAAAAGGAAAAAAACAACTATTGTTATTATTATTATTATTATTGGGTCTCTGCTAGGGCAGTTTTTCTGGCGGTATGCAGTTCTGGCACCTCTTGTAGCGCTATTTTTTCAGCATGACTGTAAAAGACACTTTGTAATTACTGGCACCTGTTTCTAGAGAAAAAAAAAACTGACCTCTGCTAATATTGTTCAGCTCTCTTTGACCTGAATGTTGTATGGATCCATGGAACACCAGAGCACCTGTGTACCACTAGGTCATCTGAGCTGCGTTGACATATGTTCTCTCTCCCTGGTAGTTGGATAGGCTTTCTGACACTCCCTGGTAGTTGGATAGACTTTCTGACACTCCCTGGTAGTTGGATAGACTTTCTGACACTCCCTGGTAGTTGGATAGACTTTCTGACACTCCCTGGTAGTTGGATAGACTTTCTGACACTCTCTGGTAGTTGGATAGACTTTCTGACACTCTCTGGTAGTTGGATAGTCTTTCTGACACTCTCTGGTAGTTGGATAGACTTTCTGACACTCTCTGGTAGTTGGATAGACTTTCTGACACTCTCTGGTAGTTGGATAGACTTTCTGACACTCTCTGGTAGTTGGATAGACTTTCTGACACTCTCTGGTAGTTGGATAGACTTTCTGACACTCTCTGGTAGTTGGATAGGCTTGTTTGTTCTGTTGCCTGGGTACACACCCTGACTGTGGCATCAGCACATTGTAGTTGTCTCGCTAGGATGCTGGGTCAACCACTGCCCCCAGCCTGCTGACAACCTAAGCTCACTTCCCTTACCTCACACAGTTGATGTTTGTTCTGTCACCTGGGTACACACCCTGACTGTGGCATCAGCACATTGTAGTTGTCTCGCTAGGATGCTGGGTCGGCCACTGCCCCCAGCCTGCTGACAACCTAAGCTCACTTCCCTTACCTCACACAGTTGATGTTTGTTCTGTCGCCTGGGTACACACCCTGACTGTGGCATCAGCACATTGTAGTTGTCTCGCTAGGATGCTGGGTCGACCACTGCCCCCAGCCTGCTGACAACCTAAGCTCACATCCCTTACCTCACACAGTTCATGTCTTTTCTGTCACCTGGGTGCACACCCTGACTGTGGCATCACCACATTGTAGTTGTCTCGCTAGGATGCTGGGTCGACCACTGCCCCCAGCCTGCTGACAACCTAAGCTCACATCCCTTACCTCACACAGTTCATGTCTTTTCTATCACCTGGGTGCACACCCTGACTGTGGCATCACCACATTGTAGTTGTCTCGCTAGGATGCTGGGTCAACCACTGCCCCCAACCTGCTGACAACCTAAGCTCACATCCCTTACCTCACACACTTCATGTCTTTTCTGTCGCCTGGGTGCACACCCTGACTGGCATGTTTAGGGCTTTGCTAGCAGTTCCACTTTCACCTGATCTCCGCCCCTACCAGGATCTTGTCGACTTGGAATCATGGCTCTGGGGTTCAGTCTCCGGCAGAGACAGAAATATGTTTGCATACTGCAACAGCCTCATAGAAATAGAAAATTTTCTGGGAAGAAAAGACAGTAATTTACCCAACCAGCCCACATAATGGACTAGAAGACTTCACACCCTTAATGCAATATCTGCTATGGAAACAATATAGTTCAACATAAATGATTGGATATATTCTGATTGTGGCGTGAGACACCCACCCTTCATGGTAATGTTGATTTTACAATTCTGAGCATATCTTTAGTTAGGTGATTAAGCCTACCATAATATGAAATAAGTTCTTCGCAAATTGTTGCACTGATCACAGCCTTACATTGTTTATGCTAATCTGTTTTTTCCTGTTTCTCTTCATGTTGTCAGAGCCCTGAGCCTGGCATCCACGGAGGTCAGGTTTTTTGTCGACAGCGAAACCAACGACCCTATTGATGTGCAGGTCAAGGAACTGAGGTAGGGCTAATAATTGTATCCTGTAGAACATATCTTGTCAGCTTATGGTGGAGATAATTTACTCTAACCTTTTTTGTAGCTGACGTACAGTTGTATATATGGTATGACAGAACATACTTTCACACAGTCTGCCTTAGAAAACTAATGCAGATCAGATGGCAAGACAAAGTACCTGATACCGTAGTCCTTGAGAAAGCAGCCATGCCCAGCATCCACACTCTACTGATGCAGTATCAAATTCGTTGGGCTGGTCATGTGGCACGCATGCCAGATCACAGGCTCCTCAAAAAAACTCTTCTATGGTGAGCTGAAAAATGGGAAAGGTTCCCAAGGCGGGCAAAAGAAACGCTATAAGTCTTCACTCAAAGCATTTGGGATGAATTACATCAATTGGGGGGGGGGGGGGGCTGCTGCCTCTCAAGACCAAAATGCATGGCATGCAGCTCTACACAAGGGCACGGCTACTTGTGAAGCAAACAGAACAGCAAGACTGATTAAGAAAAGGATGGACAGAAAGGCGACTGCAGTAGATCCCCTTCCTGGCACAACGCTCATTCCCTGTCCTCACTGTCCAAGAACTTTTCCGGCTCACATCGGCCTCACATCGGCCTCATCAGTCATCTTCGTACTCATACTTGATGAAACAGTGTGGTCATCATCATCTTGTTGGACAACACACACACACAACATGCTTATCTTTTAGATAATGTTTATCCATATTATAAAGAGATAAAGTGAGATGAAAATAGATTGTATAGGAGTGAACAGATTGACAAATAGATATCAGACTCCACTTGTGTCTGTGCATAGCCAGCTATAGCTCCTTCATTGTTGTATCAAAGTAGAATTACTTCTGATTTCCACTTAAATATACACACATGCATATACATTACTGTTCATAGTCTTAGTCTTAGTAGAGGTATCAGCTTCACTGCAGTCGGGTGACCCCATACTTGCTCCGTTCCTGTGCCAATGAAAATCAAATGAAATGTCCCTCACTACTGAAGGGAAAACTAAAGGAAAAAGAAATGGAAGCTCGAGAAACATAGGATGTTTCAGTCCCAGGTTTTTACAAGTGATGCTAAGGGGAAACATTGTGCTGTTTCGGCACTGGAGGTTGGCTAGAATATATCTGCCGCTGACCATGGGAATACTACATAAAGTCATAAGTGCTCCGTTCTTCTTCTAACTCGTCTGAGTCTGAAGAAGCTCAGCACAGTGCATAGGCTCTGTAGCACCAGCAAGGATCCTGAAATACTTAGGGTAGATTTTAACTCCAAATTTGGTCTGGTCAGCCCTGTTAGTCAACTCTTCTCAATTTCCAACTGCCAAGGGATTTTTTTTTACGTGCGCAACAATGCACACGGGAGTCCGATCTTACTACCGAGAGACCAGAGGGAATTCTAGAAGTCCAAATCCACAGGAAAAAATCCTAGCTCTTACCGGGGATTAATCCCGGAACCTCTAGCACTTGAGGTGGACACCATGCCTCGAGACCACACAGCCCCCTTGGAATACTACATGAGGAGACCTTATCTTTCCCGGTCCAACTCTCATAGCACCATCCACAAGCTAAGAGAATGGTCAACAGTGTCACAAGCCACAAAGCTACATGGGGAAGTGGGTGGGGGGGGGGGGGGGGGGATATCTGCTGAAAATTCACAAGTGCATGGACTTTTACAGAGGCTAAATAATAGTGGAAGTGAAGGTAACCAGGTTTCTTGTGTTTGCACTGACTACAAGTAAACAGTCAGTACTTGATGCCGTCGCTGGGATTAGTAGTAGTGGTAGATTTATACCCCACCAGGACATCACACAAGCGATAACCACCCGATGACACAAAGTGCCACCATATGGATGAGGATCACATGTGGAGAGGTCCCAGAAACCACATTCAGCCATTAGACCATATTTTTGGCCGGGCTATATTGTGGCTCCTGGCAAGAGCCAGGGTGGGACTTCAAAATAACGAAAAATTGCATCTCACAAGGAGATGACTGAATATGTAATCAACTTGTTAAATGCCGGCACAGCTAACGCTGGGATTACAAGGAAAGGAAGAGCTAACTACATACATCACAAAGTGCATAGGGGTGACTGAAATTTAATTTGTGACATATAAGTTTGTTTATTTTTATAAACTATTGTTAAGTTTGTATTTTGTTCGTTTGTCTGCTACAATTTTTGTGTTCAGTTTTGTTTTAGGGGGTGAGGGGACCTGTGATATGTGCCTGACAACATCCATTGACAGTAAACCATAGTCTCATGTCTCTTACTAAAATTGTGGGCCTTAATTCAAATGATGAAATCATTTTCCAGGGAGACCAACTCGATGGTGGAGGAGTTTATGCTTCTGGCAAATATTGCAGTAGCCGAAAAGATCCAGCAAGACTTCCCTGACTGTGCACTGTTGCGGCGTCATCCTCCACCACCAAAATCCAACTTTGATCCATTGATTAAAGCTGCAACTTCAAAGGTAGAAAACACACCATCTCAGTTGTCATATTGTCTGACTCCGGTCTTCTCATCTTCTTGAATCTGATTTGGCAAGGACATCAACCCTACTCTTCTTCGTCTTTTGTTTGCCTGAAATAAGCTGATTGTGTCAGCAATTTTATCTCTCATATAAATGCCACTGTCATTTCTTAGTTTATTCATTGGTTGGTAGAGTTCACTTTCAACTGTTGTTCGTTCAGGCCAAAAGTTATGTCATGTTTGTCAACCTCTGCCTCACATCAACCTCTGCCTAACCTACCAGAAACCATACCTTCGGATATTGTTCTTTCCAAACTACTATGACAGATCATGGGGAATCTTTATATTCCCAGTTGGAAGCCAGACTAATTCTGCAATTATCATGAGTACTTAAACATTCTTTGAGAATTGGAACACTGTAATCAGTGTTTACATGTTAACAAAAGTGTGGATTCACTGACACAAATAACAACGGTACCTGTGTCACACCTATAAAAAGGTTTCTGACACCAGTCATGAGCTATCTTCAAGCCAGTCTTTAAACAAATATTAAATCTGTAGAATATTTTATTTCTAGAGACATTTTAAATTGAATGGAGTTATGAACTGTCATCACAAGACTATGGACGTGACCATAAGAGCTGCATCTCTATTCACAGCAGCCAGCAAAGAGTTCCACTATTGTTGGTATCTGTAGTAGCATGACTGTATGTTCACCTTCCCCGTGCTGGTTCCAGGCCACCATTGTTTGGTAGGGACATAATAAGCCATTGCCTGTTCTTAAGCATGTCGTACAAGATGACCAATTGGGGATTTTTCCTCTGATGTCAAAGCCCATCTGCCTGAACGACAAGGAACCAACAGCCTGCATACAAGTAAGCCAGATCTGTAAACTGGATGTGCATGACAAATTCAAGTTCTGGAACAAGACTGAAGTTCACAACCAGAACAGTCTACCAGAATTTACAGCCAGTGAACATGAGGAAGAAGTATGTCCTGTCTTGCCTTTCCTCTGGATTTTTCTAGGGACAGTTTATAACTGACTTGTTGACACTGACTTTGTCCCCAGGGGTTTCAGATTGATGTGACATGCGGGAAAGGCCTGGCGGACAGCCTGGACAAAGCTGTGGTGGCGGACAACCCTTACTTCAACACCATGCTGAGGATCATGACCACCCGCTGTATGATGCAGGCCGTCTACTTCTGCAGTGGGATGTTGCAGCCCGCAGACTACATGCACTACGGCTTGGCCACCCCCATCTACACTCACTTTACTTCCCCAATTAGAAGGTGAGTCCTGGCTTTAAGTGCACTTTAGGTCACCCTTTAGAGGCTGATCCTTGGTCCTTCTTCTTCTTCACGTTCACCAGCTGTAAACTCTGGCGGAAAGTTCTGGTTGTTCATCCACTTCTGGACTGCAGTCCTGTTGCAGAACCTAAGTGTTGCGTGTGCATCCCTTTTACAGACCTGACTCATTTGTATGCAGACTGCTGGTTCCTTGCCTCTCAGGTAGATGCACTCTGACTTCGAAGGAAGCTCCCAATTAGTTGACTCTTACGACATGCTTTTGGATAGGCAGTGGATCTATTCTTGTTTTCCCTATAATAGGGCCCTGGAACTCACACGGGGAGATCCTTGGTCCAGGCTGCATTCATTTAAATTGTGTCTCTTCTGTGTTTCCCAAGTTATTCAGTGGATTCCTTATCTGTGTACACTTTGCCAATCCGCTTACTAGTGGGGTTACAATATATACGCACGCACATATTTATGTGTGCGTGAGCCCGCGCATGTGTGTTTATATATGTATAGATATAAACACATGATCGCACTCACACACACAGAATTTGATTCAAAATTTGATTTTGCCCGTTAAATAGTTCCTGTCTACATTTTAAGGCAAATCCCTGCTCCATGTACACTTTATTAACTCAAAAGTGGCCCTCAGTTAATAAAGTTTTCTTCTTTTTTCTGTAAATTACCCCGCCAGTGCGTAATGGAAGCCGCCGCGGTGTAGCTGCTAGACACGTATCTGCAGATCTGAAGGTTGTGGGCTCAGGACCTGACACAGCCAGACTTAGAAAAAAAATAACCCGGCTCCCAGATCGACCCAGCCTGAATTGGGTACCAGGAAAAGTTCTGGAAAGTAAAAAGGCCGTGGCTGTGTTGACCACATCACCCACCCTGCTGACTGATCTGTAATATATAGGTCTAGCCATGTCTGCCCAGTACGCCTGAAGGTGGGGAAACAGGTCCTTTACTTAACTCAGTCGGGTAATGGAGAGCGTTGAGGAATAAGAAATGAAGGAATACCTTAAGCAGGCGTAGAATAGAACTAGAGACAGACAGATATGGGGAAGACTTGCAGGGGTCTGCAGGAGAGGGCAAATGATAGGACAATGTAGTGTGAACTGGTTGAGTGTCTGTGCTGCATTGTTGAAGCTTCCAGTATAGTTACTATTTAATGTGGTTTTTTTTGTGTTTGTATAGGTTTAAGGTGTCTGCTTCTTTGTTTTTCTAGAACTCTCTTAATGCCCACAACTGCTTCAGTTCTAGTGCCTTGAGTTCCTAGAACTGTCTTGACACCCAAACTGATCTAGTTCTAGTGCCTTGAGTTTCTAGAACTGTCTCAAACTACTCGCATTGGTTGTACATTGTGTTCACCTGTTTTCCTACATTGGTTTCAGATACTCAGATATCATAGCCCACAGGCTACTGGCGGTCAGTATTGGTGCTGATGCCTCCTATTCGGATCTGCTGGACAAGACCAAGATTCAGGTAATGCTAGTGCTAACAGAGAGGTTTCCATAATTGTTTTGTGTGAATACAGTTAACTCTTTCAGTAGCAAAAAGTTTCACAAGAAAAGGCCTAGTGAAGAAAAAATCCTGATGAAAGTCATGAGTGCATTACTTTCAGAGTGGCAGTATAGACAGGACTGGTGACTGTTTGGAGAACCAGGTTTCTGTTGTGTGTTCTCACCAAATTGAAGTTTTGCTATGGAGAGGTATCATCGGGTAGAGTCCTTCACACGTCAGGCAATACTTGAGACCAAAATAATGAATGAATGCATTTTTAGTCCAGTGTCAAAACATTTTTAGTAGGGAACATCCTTAGGAGATACCATCATTGGGATATCTGCATGTTTTTCTGCAGATTCATAAACACTGGAGCCTTCAGCATCAGTATTTGACCATTTTAAACATTGAAATGATCACTGTAATAATTAATTGTCCTTTGGAGCTGTTCCTAAAATAGAATAACAGAGGTTGACGTTAACAAATCTGCCAACCTCTTCATCTGAGGATTGCTGGATTTGTGAAAATGCCAGATTTTTTATAGTTATCATTATCCTGTAGCATGTTCTTGCAAAACGTCACTATCATCATGGTCTGCCTGAAAAAAACTCAGCATCTCGCCTCATGCTGACTTTCATACTCAAGGGGTCATATCATGTGCCCATCTCGGCCTCTTACCTCATGCTCACTTTCATAAGTAAGGAGTCACTTATATCTTGTGCCCATCTTTTTTGTTGGTCAGTCCCTGCTCCTTCTTCCTGGTACTATGCTTTCTGCTGTTGTTATTTTTTCCCCCATTCTGTCGTAGTACTTGATATGGCCAAATCATTTCAGCTTCCGAGACAAGATGCTGCTCATTAGCCAGTCTTCCTTATGTTCTGATCTCTTAGAAGTCATTATTTCTTTTTTTTCTTAGTATTCTGAGAATGTTTCTATGTTTTATGGTTATGTAAGCTGTACATATTTAACAGAAAATGTGTACTGTCCTTGAAATTAAAAAAAAAAAAAAGACACTAAATGAAAAGCAAATGAAAGTTTAATGTTCACCAGCAAATAAAATGGCTCTCTAGAATTCTAGTTCAGCTGAATAAAATAGCTACTTAATTTTAATTATCTCTTTCAGGGTGACATTTTTGTGTGTGGTTTGAACAGCTCAATTTTCATTTGCTGCAACATGACAAAGTTAAAACCTTTCTGCAGAAAAGTATTGGCTTTATAGAGACATATAATAAATCCAATTAAAGAGAAATGAGAGCAGAATCGATCTAAACTATTCAAGTGTCAGTATAACCACAAAATGTTATTAAAATCACATAATATTTAAGGATGTTAGATACATGAATATTTTTTGCACAATAAACGTTTTGCTTACCTTACTTTTTACTTGTTCAAAACACTGCTATCCATATCTAAGTATTCACATGCCTCCTCTGTTCGGTTATACACCAGTTAGTCTTTGTTTGGCGGCGTCTGTTGTTTAGGCTTTGCGAGTCTGACTTGTAATTCCAACATACCACAATCGAAACCCACTGCTGGCATTTTTATCATGGTATGGGGTGTCGCGACCCAGCCTAAAATGGGTACCAGGATGTAAATTCTGGGGAAGTAAAGATGACCACATTACCCACCAAGTGCCGATTGGTCTGTAAAAATACCGGTGCTATTCCCATATGCCCGATGTACCTAAAGGCGTGAAAAGGGATCTTTGCTTTTTACTAGTCTTTATTTGAAACAGTTAATTTAAATACTTTTGATTTTTATGACCAATTTGCAAAACGTATAATTTCACAACAATCGAGTTCTTGACACAGCTGATTGAAACTGGGATGATTCGATTGAAATAGTTTGTTCTGCTTCATCAAAGACTTTAATTCTAGTTTTACAAAATAAGGTTCACACAGGTTCATACGAAACAGTATTATAGTTTCTCTATGAAGAGCCAGAAAGGTGGCAATCCGTCCGAATGTGATGGATTTAAAAGCCACTTAAGTGACCTTCTTTCCTTAAAGAGTTAGAAAAAAAACCTGTCATCAGAATCCTAGTTTGAAAAATTGCTCCCAAATCCAGTTCTGGAAATCTGAAGGAACCGGAATATCTTTGGCTGAATTTTTTAGGGCCAACATCAGGTTTCATATTGGAGATTCCCATATAATTGTGTTACATTGCAGTGCTCTTGTGCGCATCAAATCTCTTAAAATTGACTTTTGTGGCTTGCAGAGCCTGTGCTAACAACTTAAACTTTCGGCACAAGATGGCACAGTATGCAGGTCGTGCTTCAGTGAACTTGCACACTCACGTAAGTATAATTTTTTTCTATGTATACATTTATTATGGAAAATAGCCGCAGGTAGCTACATGATGATTTCAGTGTAAGCTCTGCCCCAAAATTAAACTCCAGCACACATTTTTCAAGCTACTTTCAGGATAAGCTCTGCCCCAAAATTAAACTCCAGCACACATTTTTCAAGCTACTTTCAGGATAAGCTCTGCCCCAAAATTAAACTCCAGCACACATTTTTCAGCTACTTTCAGGATAAGCTCTGCCCCAAAATTAAACTCCAGCACACATTTTTCAAGCTACTTTCAGGATAAGCTCTGCCCCAAAATTAAACTCCAGCACACATTTTTCAAGCTATTTTCAGGATAAGCTCTGCCCCAAAATTAAACTCCAGCACACATTTTTCAAGCTACTTTCAGGATAGGCTCTGCCCCAAAATTAAGCTCTAGCACACATTTTTCAAGCTACTTTCAGGATAAGCTCTGCCCCAAAATTAAACTCCAGCACACATTTTTCAAGCTACTTTAAGGATAAGCTCTGCCCCAAAATTAAACTCCAGCACACATTTTTCAAGCTACTTTCAGGATAAGCTCTGCCCCAAAATTAAACTTCAGCACACATTTTCAATCCACTTTCAGGATAAACCAAAATTAAACTCCAGCACACATTTTTCAAGCTACTTTCAGGATAAGCTCTGCCCCAAAATTAAACTCCAGCACACATTTTTCAAGCTACTTTCAGGATAGGCTCTGCCCCAAAATTAAGCTCTAGCACACATTTTTCAAGCTACTTTCAGGATAAGCTCTGCCCCAAAATTAAACTCCAGCACACATTTTTCAAGCTACTTTCAGGATAAGCTCTGCCCCAAAATTAAACTCCAGCACACATTTTTCAAGCTACTTTCAGGATAAGCTCTGCCCCAAAATTAAACTCCAGCACACATTTTTCAAGCTACTTTCAGGATAAGCTCTGCCCCGAAATTTAACTCCAGCACACATTTTTCAAGCTATTTTCAGGATAAGCTCTGCCCCAAAATTAAACTCCAGCACACATTTTTCAAGCTACTTCAGGATAAGCTCTGCCCCAAAATTAAACTCCAGCACACATTTTTCAAGCTACTTTCAGGATAAGCTCTGCCCCAAAATTAAACTCCAGCACACATTTTCAAGCTACTTTCAGGATAAGCTCTGCCCCCAAAATAATTTGTATTCAAGATCATCAGCTAGAATGAGAGACTCTTTCTTGAGTGGCCAGTCAGAATAGTTAACAACTTGGCACTTTGTAATGAATACAGGAACACGAGAAATTCAGACCAGAATTTTGGATTTGTAGAGTTGTGACGATGTTCCAGAACTAGATGACATGACTGTTTTGAATAAATGTAGAGTTTTGTACATAAATAAATGTAGAATTTTGCGTCAGGAAATGAAGACATTTCTTGGAAATGGACGCAAACATTAGAATGATGTGATCCATTGTCGGGGAAACAGTAACACTACAAACACTTCACATACCAGTACTGCTGTTGCTATTGCCACTAGGGGTGTGACTGCTACAGCTGTAACTGCTACTGTAGATGGTATGTCTGGGCTTTTTCTGTTTGTAGTCCCCATGTGTTGAACCCTTGACCCTTCTGCCGTGTGTTGTAAGTGCATACAAACAGTATTGCTTGGAGCTATACAGAGGCAGAATATGGTTTTGAGGAGAGGTATAGTGTGTTTCAAAAGTTGTGCACTCACATTTGAACAAATACCTGGATCAGCACACATGTTTGCATGTGGCTTTAGGTTTCCTATATCCTTAAGGTACTGCTGTTTTCCTAAAGTTGTGAATTACTTTGATCTTTGACTTATAATTTGTGTACACTAAAAAATAGAATACACTGCAATTGACACATGCGTAGATATTATTTGTTTAAAAATAAAAAAACAGTTGAACATATAACAGTATTAATCAGTGGATGGTATCTTGACTTTCATCATACTTGTTCTTTCTGCAGCTGTTCTTCAAGAACAGGATCCAGGATGAGGAAGGGCACATATTGTTTGTAAGAAAGAACGCCATCCAGGTCCTGATCACCAAATATGGTCTGGAGGGGACCATCTTTCTCACCAGTGACAGCCAGAAGACCAGTACATTTGTTTACAATGAAGAGGTACAGTAGTCATCCCTCCTTGGGGAATGTGTGTCCTCCTGTAGGTCCTCTACTGAAATACCAGGTCCGTTCTCTCAACTATTCATCTTCTTTCTTCTTCAGCATTCTGAGCCCTTGAGGTTCATTGCCACAGATTATCCCCTGCATGCATTCCTCTAGTTGGCCGTCTCTTTGGTTTCATGGCATGCTTGTTAGGGGGCAGGTCGACCCATCCTTAAATGGGTACCAGGATGTATGTCCTGGGGAAGTAACGACGGCCGGTGTAATGCTGACCACATTACCCACCGAGTGCCGATGTTCTGTAAAAATATGGACGCTCTTGCCCATATACCCGATAGGCCTGAAGGCATGAAAAGGGATCTTTACTTTACTTTTACTTACTTGGGGGGGGGGGGGGGGGGGGAGCAGTCAGTCTGTTCCTTTTCTCCTTAAAATGGGATCTAAGAACCCACATGGAAAATCAGATTTCCATCATCAATAATATGTTCATGAATAATGGTCATCGGATATGTTTACCGACACTCTCCATCTATTTCTTCACAGTCATTATCATCATCATCATCATTACCATATCCACCACCATCATCTTCATCACCATCATTGTCATCATCATCAACATCATACATGCCACTTGTATAAGCATGGTCAGCCCAGTATAATGAGATGATGTTTCATGTTGACCACAGACGGACACCCAGACAGCCGGCGATGTGACTCTCCATGTGTTTGACCCTGTGATTGTCCAGTTGAGCATTGACCGATCCAACGTCCAGCACATGAAACTCTCCCTCAAACTTGTCAAGCCAGTAGTGAGTTCCAGATTGTTGTCTATGTTTGTCCCGCTGCCTGTCGTCTGACTTTTCTTCCTCAGTCAGTTCCTCGTTTGTACTAATTGTATTCCACATCATGAGGTAGTAGTGAATTACCCTTTTAATGCAACTGGCTGATTATTGAGTTGAGAATCAACGTCATAGTACACCGGACAAACCCAGAGATGCTCCGTCTCCCACAGCAAACGTCTTGAGACCTAGATGCTAACTATTCTCAGAGCATACTTCTTCTTTCTTTATTCCTCATCTTAACTGGTTGTTTATCCACCTCTGGACTTTGGACTTGTTCCAGAACCTGAGCGTTGCATGCACATCCATTTTACAGATCTGACTTATTTATATGCAGACTGTTGGTTCCTTGCCTCTCAGGCAGATGCACTCTGACTTCAAAGGTAAACCCCAATTAGTCATCTCTTACGACATGCTTGTGGGGGAGGCAGTGGGTCTGTTCATGTTTTTCCCCAAAAGTTTTTTTTTTTTAAGGAAAAAAAAAAAAACCTTAAATGTGGAAAAGGTCTGTGTCTTTTTTAAAACTTAAGAAATATTTATATCCATAAGTTTGACATTTTTGAGTTCCAACACAAAGGTCCTTGGACACAATGAAGATGCACAACAAAGAAAACTTGATAACAAAACCAATAACAGATCTCTGGAAGTTTACCAGACTACTGTCAGTATCAGCAAATATTCATACTGGCATAAATGGAATGTTGAAAATAATTATTTAAGATGTTTTAATCTAAGTGTAGTAGGGGAATATGTTATGTCACCATTCGTAGTGTTATCCATTCATGCATGTGAAACACATTGGACTTACAGAACATGCTTGATTAAATAGGCATTCTATGAGTAGAGTGTAGAGTGGCTTGCATCACTTGATGAGAGTCAGTTCAGGAACATATCATGGATTTCTGTCCAGGCTATTCAGGTGTGTGAGGTAACGAGCAGGCTGATAGATTAGCTGCTTCCACTCTTCTGGGCGGTGAGCTACTTTATGACAAGCGGGCATGGTAAAGGCCCCCTGTGATCAAGTACACAGTGCAGTAGAACAGACAGAGAATCCACACACTGAAAGACTAATTTACAGGGGGTGAGCAGATGTTCTGAGAGTTATTCAACACTGAGAGGAAACACAGGCAGACTTTTAATCAGGTTCAACTAGTACTATAAACATCTTGACTCTTTGTGGGCTACTGAAGAAGGGGAGGGAGCACGTGTGGGAAGTCGTGAGTGCAGTGATGTCAGTTCTTGACTGATTGATTGATTCATTCAAACATTTGATGACTGTGTCTCTTATGCGTAGATCTTTATGTTTATGGTTCAGTTGTGTACATTTGTATGTGAATGAATGTATTGGCTCACTTGGCTCATACAGACTATGATTCTGCCCTCACTGGACACCAGTGTTTCTTCAATGTCTGCTCTGGTGAGATTGTCCTGTTATGGAAATAGATGTCACAAAATCTTAAATTTTAAATAATGAACCATAATAAAACAGTCTTCGTTATAGTTGTATCATTTAACAATATCTTATTTTTCAGATAATGAAATGATGTCTTGTGTTTCTGTTTATTAAAACTGTTTCGGTTTTTGAAACTGTTTCGGTTTTTGACTGTTAGTGTCTGTTATGTTTCTGAAATTGTCTTCGTTAATATTTGAGAATGTTGAATTAAGACACGACATCATAGCTGCGTCCCCATCTTCAACAGCAAGCGCAAAGTTCTAATTCCGATGGCACCAGTAACAGTCTGATTTTATATCTATCCCCCACCTTGAGTGTTGAGTGTCTCCCAGACCCCCTGGTAACTCCCTGCAGCGCCGTTCTCCTCAGACTGTAATCTTCTACTTCTTCGTGTTCACCAGCTGTACACTCTGGTGGAAAGTTCTGGTTGCTCGTCCACTACTGAACTGCAGTCGTGCTCCAGAACCTGAGTGTTGCGTGTGCATCAGTTTTACAGATCTCATTCTCTTGAATATAGACTGTTGGTTCCTTGCCTCACTGGCATATGCACTCCGACTTCAAAGGAAGCTCCCCAATTAGTTGACTCTTATGACATGCTTTTGGGGAGGCAGTGGGTCTATTCTTTTTTTCCCCACAATGGGGCCCCGGAACCCACACAGGGGTAGACTGTAATGATATATTCGTACCTCAGCACTGTTCACTCACTCCAAAAGGACCCTTACGACATCTAGCTTGTAATGCATCAAATTCAACAAGGGGTGCAGAACTAAACAGTCCGTCTGCCTGTTTGTTTCCCAGCACACTGGCATGACCTGGAGAAAATCAGACAATGTGTCTGCCTGTTTGTTTCCCAGCACACTGGCATGACCTGGAGAAAATCAGACAATGTGTCTGCCTGTTTGTTTCCCAGCACACTGGCATGACCTGGAGAAAATCAGACAATGTGTCTGCCTGTTTGTTTCCCAGCACACTGGCATGACCTGGAGAAAATCAGACAATCTGTCTGCCTGTTTGTTTCCAAGCACACTGGCATGGCCTGGAGAAAATCTCCAAAGAAGAGCAACTATATTAGAGAAGAGTTTTCCTTATTTCATTGATTAAACAAATGTCTTATTGAAATTTCAGGTACCCGGATTTAGTGTCCCACCTGCCTCCTCACTAACTCCGGCAACTTGTGAGTCCTCAAGCCAAATGCAGAAACCTCCACAGAAGAGAAAGAAAGTGTGATTGTGAGGCATCAGTTATGTTTGTGTGTACAATATTCTACAGCTATGTTACTGTCAGATGTATGTAGTCCGTATGTTTGTTTACATGCCGTCTGCACATATGGCGAGAGTTGGGTTGTTGCTTGAAATGTATATATGTGTTTTTATTAGCTGAAGTCAACTCCAGTTACTGTTTACAGGGTATTATGTATGGTGGCCTGAACTGGAGATTTCTCATGTAGCATGTGTTGAATTATCATCTAGGGGATCAGCAAATGTGACAACAGTAAAAGGAACAGTTGTACTTTCACTGAATGTCGGGCAACTGAAAGATTGTGTGGGTCTTGTGCAGAATCTTAGCAACAAAATTAATTAGGAAGAATCCATGTAGCAGAGACGTTTTCTGAGAGCAGAATTTCTGTTATTGCTGCTTTAGACCAGGGGTGGGCAAACTATAGCTCGTGGGCCAACACTAGTCTACTGGGCAGTCTTTACTGGACCACAAGGCTGATATTAAACTACTATATAACGTTTGCCTCAGTAGTATAATTTCTGCAGAAACCATCTTGAACCAACCATTTAGGAATATATAGATGGACTTCCATGAGTGAGTGTGTCTGGCCAGAGGCTTTAGCGGGGGATCATAAACTTAGATTATCCCACAGAAATGTTGTGTTACGAGGAAATCTTTGTGTTGTGTTTATAATAGATTTCGTGGCCCGCTAGCAGATTAATAATTCTAAATTTGGCCAGCAGACTCAAAATGTTGCCCGCCCCTGCTTTAAGTGACTCCAATAGCTAACAATAATTGTATTGAAGAGGTTAGAGGTTGTAGAACATAATAGACTGCTGAAAGAAAGAGGATCTCTGAAGGCATATCATTGGAGGAGAGAAACTGGAGAATATCACGATGGCCGGAAAGATCAACGGTTGCAGAGGCAGGCTGAGAAACAATGAGGCTGGATGATCTCAGATGGTGGGGTCATCAGTCGATTTAATGCAGAACAAGAGGACCAAAAGATATAGAGCAGTGGTTCTCAACCTGCGGGCAGTGATTTTTTTTTTTTTTTTTTTGGTTTAACTACGCTTAAGACCATCAGAAAACACATATTCATGAAAGCTACGGAGGAAAATAATTGTTTGGGGATCACCACAACACAAGGGAACTTTATTCAAGGATCGCGGCATTAGGAAGGTTGAGAGGCACTGGTATAGAGAGATTTGGCAGGGCACCTCAAGGGGATATAGTTAAGCGTTGTCAAATTTTGGTACAAGTTTTTAACTCCTAACATGAAATATGTCAATGTTACAAGCTGGCAGATTTACATTGTGTGTTTAGAAATCTTTATTTCTGAATGAATCTGAAGCTCTGACTACTTATGTAAGCTGGGCAGCACAGGCTTGAGCAGACAGTTGACTGTTGTATTTGTGCGTCAACGTGACTCATTCACAGAGTGCTGAAAACAGGCGTGACCGCAACAAGCTAATTCCAAGTAATTAATCCAATGAACTGTAACTAAAAAGCTTCACGAAAGGAGAAAGAGGATTGGTCTGTTTGGGCTCTTTGTTCCTCATCCCCCTTTCGTTACATTTTCAGTCCATATGACAGAATGTTTCTATGTCACTAGGAATGATAAAGGTTTCACTCATGTATTCAGTTTTTTAATTTTATTTTGTGCATTTGTGTATGTGTGTTTTTCTTCCATACGTTCACATAGTGGCATTGTGGACCACAAATGATTGTCAATAAGTGAAGGGACCCCCACACTTAGATCAATGGCTCTCAACCTTCCTAAATCTGTGACCCTTGAATTAAGTTCCCTTGTTGTGGTGACTCCCGCACACTTATTTTCCTCTATAACTTCAATGAATATGTGATTTCCGATGGTCTTAGGTGACCCGTGTGAAAGGGTCGTTCGACTAAAAAAAAAAGGGTCCCGACTGGCTGGTTAAGAACCACTGACCTAGATGTACGGGGGGCCCCATTCTTGCTTATTTCTTCAGCATCTTCAGGGGCAGAAATGCTTCTGATGACACCCTCTGTGCTTGGTGTGTGATACTGATTGCCCAGCCTGTCCGCTTTGGGACTGTATCTGTGTGTCTGAATCAAACATGCAACCATAACACTGTCTGAACCACAATACAATCCAACTCAGTGTCTGAATCAAACATACAATACTACTCAGTCAGAGTCAGCATCTGAATCAAATGTGTGATCAGACACAGCATCTGAATCAAATGTACATCAGATACAATCAAAAACAGTGTCTGAATCATTAAAAGATCAGTCAGTCACAATCAAGCGCAGTGTCTGAATCAAACATACAATCAAACATTGTGTCTGAATCAGTTGTACAATCAGACACAATCAAGCACAGTGTCTGAATCAAAGTACAGTCAGACACACTCAAGCACAGTGTCTGAATCAAAGTAGTCAGACACAATCAAACTGCCTAAATCAAATGTACAATCAGACACAGTCAAACAATGTGAATTAAACACAGTGTCTGAATGAATCAAACATACAATCCTATACAGTCAAAGACAGTGTCTGAATCAAGTGAACAATCAGACACAGGGTTCAGGAAATGATTTGTTTCTCTCTCTGTTCGCAAGATACAGTTAAGCTGCAGGCAGAGTTTCAGGTCAGATATCTCAGGTTGCTAGACTCAGGAAAAGAAGATCGAAGGAGTAGGCCATTATGATGAATTATGTAGAATAATTAGAAGCTAGTGCTATACTGAGGAGAAGCTAACAGAGAATCATTCAACAGGCACTGATATAGGAAAGAAATGCACTAAGGAGGTGGTGAGGACATCCACAAGAGACTCTAAGGTGAAAGTTAATGAGAGACCAGAAGTACTGGATTGGATTCTCTCTGTGATACTGAAATAATTGCACAGGATAGAGCTGAAAAGCCTGTGAGCCCTGTGCTTTGTGTAACAGCCTCAAGAGACAAGTGTGCAGAGCTAGCTTTAGGGGAACCATGAAGGACCTGCAGCTGACATGCCAGTTCATTGAGGCAACTCGCCTGATGGTCTGATCTGAGCATACGAAACCGAACGCAAAGAAGAAGAAGAACAGCACGATGACTGAGACTGTCACAGGGGATGTATAAATTGTTAACCTCAGCTGTTGTATGCCAGAGTTATTTCTTTAGCTGATACATGTTTTCTTCTGGTCAATATGGCAGACAGGCAGGTTTACTGTTTTTAGTTGTGGCAAGTTTTTACTTCTGACAGTAGTTAGCCATTATATTTTCCTTCATGTGTAGACTGAAAGAATAGTTTTTTCACCCAGCTGCTGAGTTGAGTCCACGGGGAAACTGGATTCATAGAATGGCAAGGGGCCTGTTTCCAGAGGACTGATGGTGCCTTATGTGAATAATTGGATGTGCAACTAATAATATGTTGTAACTGCTACTTCCATTGAAGATGAACTGCATTTCTAGTGTTGGACTGTTTGTGTGGGCAATTCTGACAAGTGTTTTATGCATCTAATACACTGGCATGCTATTTGGTTTGCTGAAATCACAGTCTGTGTCAGTGTTTTCTACAAGGGGACAGTGGTGAACATTCTGTGTGGTTTCTGTGGCACAGGAACCGAGCAGCCATGGGGTAACCTGTTTGCTATGAAGTTAGCATGTGACTGCTAAAAGAAATCTATGTGAATGATAACAGTGGACTAAAAGAAATCTATATGAATGATAACTATGGACTAAACGAAATCTATGTTAATGGTAACTGTGGACCTAAAGAAATCTATATAAATGATACCAGTGGACTAAAAGAAATCTATATGAATGATAACAGTGGACTAAAAGAAATCTATGTGAATGATAAAAATAAATCTATATGAACGATAACTGTGGAACTAAAGAAATCTATGTGAATGATAACCATGGACTAAAGGGAATCTATGTGAATGATAACAGTGGACTAAAAGAAATCTGTGTGAATGATTACCGTGGACTAAAAGAAATCTATGTGAATGATAACAGTGGACTAAAAATATCTATATTAATGATAACAGTGGACTAAAAGAAATCTATATGAATGATAACTATGGACTAAACGAAATCTATGTCAATGATAACTGTGGACCTAAAGAAATCTATATAAATGATACCACTGGACTAAAAGAAATCTATATGAATGATAACAGTGGACTAAAAGAAATCTATGTGAATGATAACAAAAATAAATCTATATGAACGATAACTGTGGAACTAAAGAAATCTATGTGAATGATAACCATGGACTAAAGGGAATCTATGTGAATGATAACAGTGGACTAAAAGAAATCTGTGTGAATGATTACCGTGGACTAAAAGAAATCTATGTGAATGATAACAAAAATAAATCTATATGAACGATAACTGTGGAACTAAAGAAATCTATGTGAATGATAACCATGGACTAAAGGGAATCTATGTGAATGATAACAGTGGACTAAAAGAAATCTGTGTGAATGATTACCGTGGACTAAAAGAAAAATATAAGAGTGATAACAGTGGTCGAAAAGAAATTTATGTGAATGATAACCATGAACTAAAAAAATCTTTGTGAATGATAACCGTGGACTAAAAGAAATCTGTGTGAATGATAACCGTGGACTAAAAGAAATCTATGTGAATGATAATCATGGACTTAAAGAATGTATGTGAGTGATAACCGTGGACTAAAATAAATCTTTGTGAATAATAACTGTGGACTAAAGAAAAAACTATATGAATGATAACCGTGGACTAAAGAAAAAACTATATGAATGATAACAGTGGACTAAAAGAAAATTCTGTGAATGAATACTGTGGACTAAAATAAATCTATGTGAATGATAACGGTGGATTTCTTCTTTTTCTTCTTTCAGTCGCTTGAAATAGATTATCTATATCTGCATGCAATGTTGCCTCTAGTATGAACTTCACTGTCTTTTGTAATTCACTCAGCAACCCGTAAAGTTTGACTTGCACCGATGTTTGTTTCTCTTGGCCAAAAGTTTTGCCTTGATCTTTTGTATTTG